CTCTCTTTCCCTCCCTATTTTCCTCACCCACATGCGCCCACCCTCAACCACAGACCCTACCACTCACATCCTCTCCCCAATCCTCCAATTTTCCGCACATTCACCTCCCCCCCGCCCCGCGGTCTCTGACGAGTTTCCGGTTCCGGGCCGTGCGCTCTGGGCCATGATGGCGGACACCAGGAGTCAGTTGTATCTGGGCGCGGGGTTGACGGTGCTATCCCACCCGCTTATGTACGTCAAGCTGCTGATCCAGGTGAGAGAGTCCGGGGAGTGTGTCTGTATGTGAGGGAGAGAAGGAGTGTGATGGTAGGGGGTCATTGATATGTGGTTGTGTGTGTGTCTGTCTGTGTGTAGAGGCAGGAGGCCAGGGCATGTCTGTGTCTGTGAATGGAGGTATGGAGGTAGGGGGAAGTGCGGTTTGGCGGGGGGCGGAGTGGTGGTGGTGGTGATGTGCGATAGAGTGAGAGGAGGGTCTGGTGTTTGTCAGTGTATGTAAGAGAGAGAAGTGGGGGTCCGGGCAATGTATCTTTATGTGTGATAGAGGGAGCAGAGGACTGGGGAATGTGTCTGTCTGTGTGGGAATGGATTGTGTGAGAGGCAGTGATGTGGAGGCCATGGTGGGTGTGAGGGAAGATGTTGAGGGTGTGGATGAGTGGTCTGGCTACGGGGCAGTGGGTAGACGGTGCTCAGTGAGTTTTCTCAGGCATATGGTGTATGGGTGTGTTTGACATTATTGGTTGGCAAAGGATCAATCATACATATGCCATCAGCCATGATTGAATGGCGGTGGAGACTCGATGGGTCGAATGGCCTAATTTCTGCTCCTATGTCTTGTGGTCTTATATAGTTTGAACTGGAAAGTACAGGGAAAGTTTAAGGAAACAATGTTCTATTTACCATTCACAATATACAACAAGTGCTTTGGAGAGCTGTGTGCATCGAAGTTTTTAGAGAGATACGAGAGTGGAGGTAAATTCTTCTAATTGTTGAGCAAACAGACCTAGAAAACCCTAATGGACCTGGGTTGCAACAGCCTCAGGACTTAACAAATGGGTGAATTTTCAATATGCACTTAGAAGCTATGAGTAGTTCCTGGTCAGATGCAAAAGTCACAGCTTGGATCTGACAGTATCACTTTAGCTATCTTTCTCAGTACAATAGTTTGTAAGCCCCTGACAAAATTTCAAATATCAGACCTCCTGATTGTTTCACCTAAATCTATTTTCAAGATTTCCTATTACTGCGTGATTGACAACAATGTGAGCTCGTTGACACAAAACTGAAGGAACTCGTGAGAAAGACGGCCCATTTTACTCTCTTATAATTTGTTGTCTCGATCCAGAGTGTTTTCCCTATTCTTCCAATCACATCTTGTGTATATTAGTGATTAAAGGGATATAGTGGGACTGAAAACATTGAACTGTTGTTGTCTTATTTGACAAATAGAATTGTCTCCAATAATCATGTTTTTGAGTTTATTGAAAAGCCTAGTGAATGCCTGTTTTTATTCTATTTGACATTTGTAGCACTTGGAAGGCTTTCAGTAAGTATCAAAATAAGAGATTAGCATGTAAAATTAAAGTTCATGGGATTGGGGGTAGTGACCTGAATAGAGAACTGGTTGGCAGACTGGAAGCAAAATAGGAATAAACGGAACTGTTTCTGAATGGCAGCTAGTGACTATCAGGGTACAGCAAGGATCAACTATTCACAATATTTATTAATGATAAATAGGTGAGGGAACTAAATGTAATAAATATTTGCATATAACCCAAAGCTGGATGGGAGGGTGAACTCTGACGAGGATGGGCAAGTGCTTCAGTTTTGGACAAGTTGAGTGAGTGGGCATTTGCATTGCAGATGACGTAAAATGTGCTTAAATGTGAGGATATCCGCTTTGGTAGCTGAAACAGGAAGGCAGATTATTATCTGGCAATATATTGGGAAAGACGAAGGTGCAATAAGTCCTGGGTGTCCTTATATACCAGTTGCTGAAGGTAAACATGCAAATGCAGCAGGTGCTAAAGAAGGCAAATGGAACGTTGACTTTCATAGCGAGATGACTTGAGTACAGGGTTAAGGATGTGTTGTATAATTGTACAGGTACTTGATGTGACCACATCTGGAGTATTTTGGTCTCCTTATCTGAGGGAGGAGGTGTAACAGGTTTACCAGACTGATTCCTGAGATGACGGGACTAATGTAGCAAGAGAGACAGGATCACGTAGGAGTAGATTCACTGGAGTTTGGAAGGATGAAGGGGGTTTTCATAGAAACCTATAAAATTCAGAGTTTGAGAGGAGCAATCAGACCTGCTGTATATAAGTCTATGTGACATCAAGCAGTGCTGATAACCCAAGCCAACCGGACAACACTGTTACACTTGAAACACATTCAAGTAACTTTTATTTAGAAGAAGCTGAAAATGGTACAGTGACATAATAATGTTTCTGAGTGAGACCCATACTTAGTATAAAACAGTACCTTCAAATGACTGGCAGTTTCTCTTTCAAAGTCATGAATGTCAGTTTGGATGGTGTAGCTGTGTACTCACTCCCCTGCCAAAGTTGTCTCCTGCCTGTGGCAGATGCAGCAATCCTGTCCGGGTTCACATGAGGTAAGCGGATTTCCAATTCCAAACGTGGCCACAAAATGCCAGAGTATGTGGGAGAATGCCATTAATTCCTTGTGACAGAGATGGCCTGGGTTTAACTGCCTTGTTTGATCCAATCCATGATGGTGGAGGAGTTGGGGAAGATGTCAGGGCAGATGGATTTGTTCTCCTTGCAGAATCTTGTCTTGTAGAAGTAGTGCATGTCGCTGGGTTTTGCCCGGGACAAGCACTCAGCAAAGGCCCTGTCGCATTCACATGACATCCTGGTGCACACGGTCTGGCCCTTGCACTCCGTCTGTGCCCTTTTGCATGTGAAATTGTACATACTCCACTTAACCTGGCTGTGACAGCCCAGTATCACCCTGGTGTGGTAGTAGCAGCAGTCATGGAGAAAACAGCACTGGTCCACCGGGTCAACAGGCCTACTTGAGCCCCCTGTCCCACAATAGCAGCCATAGTTGTGGAGCTTGAGGAGGGAGATTCCCAATTTGGAGCGGTAACACCACAGAGTCATGGCCATGTCGACGAGGCCTCGCCGCTGTCGGATTGCATCAGGACGCAGTTCAGCTTGGGGGCACAGGCATAACCAGATGATTGCAAGTAGAACCATCACTAAGAGTCTGCTCATCCTCATCCTCATCCTCCTCATGTTCTCCTGACTGTTGCTACTCTGTGTTGTCCTGGTTTATATCAAGCCCTGTATTTCTTCCCTCCCTTTCCTGGCATCATGTGATCCCTGGCCCATCCCCCATCTCATGGTGGTGCTTAAGTTTCATTTTTGATGGCTGTGCTTCCCAAGGAATTTGGTTCTAAATATTCATTTTAGCAGGACTGTTCCAAGTACGGACAAAAAGACAGTTTCTTTTTTGCTTTGGATGAAAGGATTTTAAAAAAGGATGATTGGTAGGTATGGCTGTATCTAAAATTGGTTGCAGGCAGTGTTTAGACAAATGTAGTGAATGTTTCCTGTTCTATCAAAATGCACTCAGTCTCTATATCTTCCATTGCTACCGTCCCTTGCTGTTCATTATTATCTGATTAAAAGATTAACATTTTTTAATCAGGATTAGAGTTTTGTGTCTTAATAACTGGCAGTGTCTGTCATAGATTCATAGACACAAACAGCGCAGAAAAGGCCCTTTGGCCCATCGAGTCTGCACCAACATAACTACCACTAAAAGTGCACTAATCCCAACTTCCTGCACTTGTCCCATATCTAAATGATATGATATCCGAATGATATTTGAAGTGCTCATCCAAATATTTTTTAAAGGTTGTAAGGTTTCCAGCCTCCATTACCTTCCTAGGCAGTGCATTCCAGATTCCCACCACCCACTGAGTGAAAATGTTTTCTCACCAAATTCCCACTGAATTTCTTGCCCCTTCCCTGAAAACTATGCCATCTCATGATTGACCCCTCAACCAAGGGGAACAGCTGCTCTCTATTCACCCTGTCCATACCCTCAATCATGCCCCTCCGCCTTCTTTGCTCTAAAGAAAACAATCCCAGCCTATGTAGTCTCTCCTAGCTCGGTTTCTCCATCCCAAGCAACATTTTGGTGAACCTCCTCTATACTCCCTCTAGTGCTATCACATATTTCCTGTAATGAGTTGATCAGAGCTACACACAGTACTCCAGTTGTAGCCTGACCAGTGTAGTGTACAACTCCAACATTACCTCCTTCTCTCATACTCTATGCCATGACTGATGAAACCAAGTGTCCCAAATGCCTGCTTAAGGAAGGGTCACCGGACCCGAAACATTAACTCTGTTTTTTCCTTCTCAGATGCTGCCACACCTGCTGAGCTTTTCCAGCAACTTTGTTTTTGTACCTGCTTAACTATCCAATTCATGTGCTTTGCTGACTTCAGGGATCTGTGAATAACTACGCCAAGATCCCTCTGTTCCTCAAAGCTATCCAGTGTCCTGCCATTCGTTAAATACTCCCTCCTCTTGTTTCTGCTTCCAAAGTGCATCACCTCATCCACTCAATCAAACAACCTTTGTGTCCTGTTGCTATGCCAAGTTTCCCTCAATTCCGTGTGCTTTGACTTTCTCTTAGTCTCCCATATGGGACCTTGTCTAAAGCTTTGCTAAAGTCCATATAAACTACATCAACTGAACTTCCACACACTTGATCAAATTTTCAAAAAAAATTCCAACATATTTGTTAGGCATGACCTCCCTCTGACAAAGCCATGCTGACTATCCCTAATTATCCCATGCCTTTTCAAGTGGGTATTAATTCACTCCTTCAGAATTTTATCCACTGACATGAGACTACCAGTCTGTAATTTCCTGGTTCATCTCTACCACCCCTTTTTAAAAAGTGGAATTATATTAGCTGTCCTCCAGTCCCCCAGCACTTCCCCTGTGGCCACAGAGGAATTAAACATCTGTGTCGGAGCCCCTGCAATTTCCCGTCTCGCCTCCCACAGCAGCCTGCGATGCTGTTCTTCCGAGCCAGGGGTTTTGTCTGTTTTTAAGCTCGATGGAGCCTCCAATACATCCCCATTTCCTATGTCAAGCTGTGCGAGTTCCTCACACTCCCTTTTCCTGAATTCCGTACCTACCTTCTCCTTTACCAGAGTGAAGACAAAGAGAGGTATTCATTCAACACCTTTCCAATATCCTGCGGCTTTACACACAGGTTGCTCCCTTGGTCTCTAATGGGCTCTACTCTTTTCCTGGTTGACCTCTTCCTTTTAATGTATTTATAAAATATTTTAGCATTCTCCCTAATCCTGTTCGCAAGTCGTTTCTCATGCCCCCTTTTTGCTCTTCTAATCGCTTTCATAAGTTCCCTCCTGCACTTTCTGTATTCTTCTAGGGCCGCAGCTGAATTGTTCCCTTTGGACTTGCTAAATCCCCTTGTCCTCTTCCTCATCCAGTCCTCAGTTGTTCTAGATATCCAGGGTTCTCTGAACTTATTGCTCCAACATTTCCCTCTAAAGTTACATGTTGGACCTGAACTTTCTCCAGGTCGTTTTTGAATGTCCCCCATTGCTCTGCTGTAGACTTATCCCCGCAAGGAGCTACTACAAGGCCAATCTACTGTGGCCAGATCCTGCTTTATTTTAATAAAATCTGTCTTCTCCTAATTCAAAGCCATCCTTTGCAGGCCATCTTTTTCCTTGTCCATAACAAATTGAACTGTACCAAGCTATGATTGCTATCGCCTAACTGTTTCCTGCAGCCACATCGAACACTTGTCTGGCTTCTTTCCCCAGAATCAGATCCAGCACTGCACCTACCCATGTTGAGCCTTCTGTGTATTGAAACAAAAAATTCCCCTGGATATATCTCAAGAAATCCACTCCCTGTAAACCAAATATCCCAAGTTTTGTTGGGAAAGTTGAAATCCTCCAGTATAATTACCCAATTATTACTCTTACATACCTCTGTGAACTGTCTACATATTTGCTCCTCTTTTTCCCCACTGACTCTTTGGGGGCCTGTAATACATTCCCAGTAACATAGATGCCCTCTTAACATTCCTAAGTTCTACCCACAAAGTCTCATTTAAGGACCCTTCCAGGATAGCATCTCCTTATTGCAGTAATTGACTCCTTAATAGTGGTACAACACCACCGTTCTTGCATCTTCCTCTGACTCTCATGTCTTTCACGGTAAGACAGTGATTTTGGGGCTAGCCACTGGTAAGTCCTTCGTTTCTCTAATGTCTCTTTAATGGCAGATCACCACATCAACTTCAACTGTTTTCAGCCTTCTGTAACTGCACCTCTGAATCACCTGCTACAGAGGAGTCATCTCCCCTTCGAAGTGTAATCTGCACCCTTCTCTCCACTCTTCGTTGAAGGAGTGAATGTCCTCAGTACAGCACCTCCCCATGTCACCATTGAGGATTTATTTAATGTTAGGGGTGAAACCACAGGAGCCTCAAGTGTAATTTAAGAAAATGTTGATGCAAGTAAATGTGTCCACAGAGCCACACCAGGCTTGGCTTCACTATAGTTAGAAAGTTGCAACTTTTTCTCAGTATGGTGATTTTCATTACCCTGAAAAACAAAAATGAGCTGAAGGGCAATGAAAAGAGATTTAACGATGAGGTGAAAGAGTGCTTTTGCCCCCACGTGGAAGAGAAACCAGTGTGCTCTTGTCAGAATTTGTACCACAATCAGTTCCACAACAAACTTAACCCCATATCTTCAGACTTGTTATGCTCTTGGTGAAGTAGCTAAGCTTCTTAAATTACTCATAAGACAACCTCACATCTTGTGACGGATTGTAAAACATCACACTGCTAGACCGTTTTGTACAGGCTAAGCTATGATTTGGATTTCTTTTCAAATAAGATGATTCACATAAGCAAACCCAGAAGCCAAAAATTATATAACCCAACTTGTAATTTACATGGTGTACAAAATATGGCATTGGGTTGCATCAGCGGTTTTTCCATTTTCCCCTTCATACCTGAGTGCTGCTTATGAATCTCGATCCAGATCCTATCTGCGACCACACCAGGAGCTGGCATTCAAACAATATTGGTGGCTGCAAGGACAAAGGAAATTTCACCCAGGCGCTTTGAACACATTTTCATCTTTAACGCTTTTGGAAAATGAGGAAAACGTTACCTGTTATTGGTCAGATGTATGTAATTTTGCACAACTTTACACTATGATTTCTGTCTACTCTGAATTCTGCAAAAACCATGGCCATTTCAGCAGGCATTAAGAACTTGAAGGCCGATATTTAATCATTTCATTCAGATATTGAAACTTAGTCCTTAATTCAGCTACTACATTGAAACCATTAAACTGGTTATGGGTTAAAATTAATTCACTAAGATCATGCAAAAGGTTTGTACATTAACCCATTTCCCTAAAAGTTGCACCCGGAGAATTGTAGGAACAGTTGGAGGCCATTCTCTCTCTTGAGCTTGCTCTGACATTTATTACCTTAACCCTCAATAGCCTCACCCAACAAAAATCTTATTAACTTCATTTTTTGTCTGTTTTGATTGACAGATTCTTATCGCCAGCTTGTAGTGGAATGTAGTTTTCCATTGCCCGCCCAGCTTCTGGCTGAGCCAATGAGGATCAGGTTTTTCTCATGCCTCCTGCCAGGTTACTGGCTCTCAGTTGGCCAGTGGGGCACCTCAGTGGGTCTTGGCAATAAAATGTCAGGGGCACACAAACCCACCCATAGCCAAATCACTGTCAAGTGACTGTCCACACAGCACCAAGACATTTGGGAGGCAATGTGCACCATCCCTACTGTTCAGTCAAGCTGATGCTGCCTGTCCAACGCCATGCTGGCAGAATTCAGAATGGGCCACTTGGCACAGAGAGAAGGTGCTGGCTCTGGATAATATCCAGTCACTGACCTGCAGGTGGTAACTGTTTATGCTGGATTCTAGGAACAAGCAGTTGAGGTTAAAGGGAGACAATGCGCAGGCTGTAATTAGAGGTCCAGTAGGAGCCAGACCCAACGCCAGAAGCAATGCTTGGCCCCGGGTGGGACCTGCACTTGGTTAAAAGCACTGCACAAAGTAATTATGGGGGAGGAAAGTAAGTGTCAGTCTTTGCACATTGTGACTGGGCTATTTTAAGCCACTGTGTGTTTGTCAGAGTGTCTCTCTCAGTTCGATAGCAGCAGTCACAAACCTGGCTCAGCACCCTCTCTGCTATTAGTGGTTCCACAAGTCTGAAAGATAGAGGCTGGCTTTCCCTTGTGTCTTGTTTCAATACTTTTAAGGTATTCAATACTTTACCATTCAAAAGTTATCATTCAATATAGAAAACAGGGCAGCCCATTTCTACACAACAAGATCCCCAAAAACGCAGCATTACAATGACCAGGTGTTTAGTTTTTCTGCCATTCACACCAACCTCTAACTCTATTTTGTTTTGTCCCATTTCTACTTCCATCAGTTCTTCCCACCAACTGTTTTGACATTTAGTGTCTCCCATCTCCTGCCCTTTCACTGGCCTTCCCTTCCAGATTTCCCTAGTTCTGACGAAGGGTCACTGATGTGAAATGTGGATTCTTTCTCTTCTCTCCTGCAAAGATGCCAGCTGAATTGCTAATGGGTTCCAGCACTTTATTTCCTTTTAGATTTTCATTACCTGCAGTATTTTGCTTTCTTTGTTTTCCTGTAGCTTCTCATTGAGGGATTATTACTGGTTGTAAGGTGGGGAGAAACTCAACATCCCATTGATATCTGTCACAGAGTCGGCTGTGCCATTTGGAGGGTGGGCTGCTCGTCAGGGTAACTGCCTTCAATTTGATGTTCTCCCTTTAAATTGATTTTGTAATCCAAGTTGCTGAAATTATTTATCTGCCTACCCTAGGTCGGTCATGAGCCCATTGCACCAGTGATGGGTCGAAACATCTTCAGACGACCAGTTCTCCAGCTGCCCGGACTCTTTACATATGGTGCGTACAAAAATGATGCAGATCAATGTTTGTTCCTGAGATTGCTGTCTATCAGTGGCCATGTACACTCAGCTAACACGTTCTTCACCGTAGAGTCACTGCATTCATGTTATGCTGTAGCACTGCTTTGGAGTGCTTGACGGGCAAAGGGAGCATTACTCTGTATCTAACCCCCTGGTGTCCCTGTCCCGGTGGTGTTTGGAGACTGTGTTGAGGGAGCTTTGCAGTTTTGCCTTTAGGTTAAAAAAGTAGAGCAGGCATTTCTTTTAGTTTGAAAGAGTATAGGTAGCTTTAATTTAACACTCTGCTGTCTCTGTTCTGGGAGTGTTTGATGGAGATATTGTTGAGGAAGCTCTCCTTTCAATTTAAAAGAGTAGAGAGATCTTTACTCTGTATGTAAGTCACTCTTGCCACTGTCAATGGTGAAGAGAGTGAATGTTGAACGTAGAACAGTATAGCACATGAACAGGCCCTTCAGCTCACCATGTCTGTGCTGACCATGATGCCATTCTTCACTAATCCCATCTGCCTGCACATGGTCCGTATCCCTCTCTTTTTGCCAGTTCATGTTTCTGCCTCTTAAACGTTGCTATCGTATCTGCTTCTACCACCTCCCCGTCAGCTTGCTTCAGGCACCTATTACCCTTTGTGTAAAAAAAAAAACACATTCCTCACAACTCCTTTAGACTTTTCTGCTTCTCACCTTAGTATGTGATAGTTTCACCCTGAGAAAAAGACTCTGACTATCCACACCTCTCATAATATTACATATTTCTGTCAGGTCGCCCTCCAGTCTCCAACACTCTAGTGAAAATAATCCAAGTTTGTCCTACCTCTCCTTGTAGCTAATGTATTCCAATTCTGGCAACAGCCTGATAGAGCTGTTTTGCACCCTATCCAAAACTTCCTTTCTATACTATGGTGACCAGAACTTCATGCAATACTCCAAATGTGGCCTGACTAAAGTTTTACACAGCTGTAACATGATTTGTCAACTTTTACACTCAGTGTCCTGAATGATGAAGACAGGCATGCCGTATGTCTTCCTTACCATTTGTGTTGCCACATTCAGGGAGCTATGGAATTTATCTGAAGATCCAGCCGTATGTTAATGCCTCTTAGGGTCCTGCCGTTTCTTATCTACTTTCCTCTTGCATTTGACCTCCCAAAATGTATTACCTCACACTTGTCTGGATTAAACTCTATCTACCATTTCTCGCCCATCTTTCCAACTTGTGCAGAGGGTGTTTTATGTATGGAACAAGCTGCCGGAGGTGGTGGTGGAGGCGGAGGCGGGTACGATTACAAGATATAAAAGCCATTTGAAAGCATGCATGAATAGGAAAAATTTAGAGATATATGGTCCAAATGCTGGCAAATAGAACTAGATTACTTTAGAACATCTGGTTAGGATGGATGTGTTGGACTGAGGGGTCTGTTTCGTGCTGTATAACTCTGACTCTTTGACTCTATGGTCTATATCCTGCTGTATCCTTTGATAACCTGCTTCATTATCCTCAACTCCATCAATTTTCTTGTCATCTGCAACCTTACTAATCAGACCATTTACATTTTCATCCAAATCATTTATATACATTACAAACAACAGAGGTCCCAACACTGATCCTTGCAGAACAACGTAGTCATGTACCTCTAGTCAGAAAACGCCCCTCCACAACTACCCTCTGTCTTCTGTGCCCAAGCCAATTTTGTGTCTAACTTGCCAACTCACTAGGGATTCCTTGCAATTTGATCTTCTGGACCAGGATATCTTTATGCTTTAGTAAAGTCCGTGTAGACAATGTCCACTGCCCTACCCTTATGAATCTCAAAAAAAGTCAATCAAGTTTGTGAGACAAGACCTCCCAACACAAAGCCATGCTGACTATCCCTAATAAGTCCATTCTTCTCAAAATGCAAGTAAATCCTGTCCCTAGGAATCTTCTCCAATAATTTCCCTGCTGCTGGTGTAAGGCTCATTGACCTATTATTTCCTGCATTGTTCCTGTTGCCTTTCTTGAACAAAGGAACAACATTGGCTCTTCTCCTGTCTCCTGGGATATTGGCTGTGGCTAAAGAGGTTACAAAGACATCTGTTAAGGCCTCAGCCATCTCCTCTGTTGCCTCCTTCAGTATCCTGGGATACATTCCATCAGGCTCTGGGGTCTTATCTACCTTGATGTTTTTCAAGACACCCAACCTCACATCCTTCTTAATATCAACATGCCCCAGAATAACAGCATATCCCTCCCTAATTTAACATCATCTATGTCCTCCTCCTTGGTCATTACCAATGCAAAGTATTAATTAATAAGCTCACCACTTCCTCTTGCTCCATGCAAATATTCCCTCCTTTCCCTAGCTACCCTCTTGCTTCTGATATACATATAAAATATCTTGGTATTCTCCTTAATTCTACGTGTCAAGACATTTAATGGCCCCTCCTAGCCCTCATGATTTCTTGCTTAAGTTCTTTTCTGCTTCCTTTATACCCTTCAAGAGCCTTAGCTGATTTCAGTTTCCTAAACCATACATATGCTTCCTTTTTCTTTATGACTAACCTTTCAACATCTCTTGTCATCCAAGGTTCCAGAACCTTGCCACCTTTATCTTTCATCCTCACAGGAACATGCTGGTCCTGAATTCTGATCAACTGGCCTTTAAAAGATTCTGATATGTCAGTTGTGGATTTACTCTCAAATCACCGCCACCCGCCCCCCCCAGTCTAATTTCTCCAATCTAATCTAATTGAAGGTAGTGTGTAGAGTTCCAGTCAAAGTGAGCGGCTTTGTCCTGGATGTTCTTGGTGCTATTGAATGTCAACGGGCAATATTAATATTCTCTATTGTTGGAGATGGTCATTGACTGACACTTGTATGACACAAACGTTACTTGCCACTTCTCAGCCTGTGCCTGGAAATTGATGGAGGGAAGGTCATTGATGAAGCGATGGTTGGACCCAGGACACTATGGCAGTGTTTTACTAGTATTTGTTCATTTCACTGTTCCTGTATTTGAGAAGATCAAACTTGATGAATTTGATACTTTCTGCTGTTTGTCTTGCAGCCAAGCACATTGTGAGCATCGATGGAAAGTGGGGTCTGTTTAAAGGCCTAACACCTCGCTTGTGTGCAGGAACCATTGGGACCATTGTACATGGCAAAGTACTGCAGGTAGCTGCTGTTGTTCATGGTGTTATGAATGATCACGCAATGAGACACTGGGCTGGTGGGGAAAGAGATGTGGTGATTGTGCTCCCGTCTCAGGACACTTGTGGGGGAGAGTGTGCTTCCATGTTTGGGCATTGGAGGTGGTTTGGATTTGGCACTCCTGTGTTGGGACACTGAAGGATGAATGCTGTCTGTCAATCTGTCACCTACTGGGTAACAGCAGTTCTCCTGAGATGTGTCTACAGACTGCGAGGGTGGAAGTAGGATGGACACATGGTATCTTACACCTGGGAAATGTGCACTGGTGTCTGCCACAACAGAATCCGAGGCTGGGACTGTTAGTGGAGAGCAGCTAGAACCTGTTAGACCTGTACACACCAGGAGTCGGCAGCTTACTGAGACAAAGACTGAAACTCCTCACGTTGGACCGTCACAGGGCGATTTGGCTGTGGACTCTCTGAGGTCACACTGTAGCCCTCCACCTTCAGCCACACTTTTACTTTGGCAGTATGGACACAGCCACTAAATAATTGGTCAGAATTGGAATGTCAGACCCTAGTTATATGCAGGTATTGGAGATTGAGTGTCATTTTACTCTCACTCCTCTGTGATTAAAAACTGTCCATCTCATGCTGGATTTTATTTTCAGTTTCTTACTAATGCCCTGTCACTCTGCAGTTCCTTTCTGTCTGTCTTTCTCTGTATCATGTGCTCATCATGTTGCAGTCCCGTTCTCACTTCCTCTGTATCTTTTTGTTACAGAGCTATCAGGAGATGAAAGAAAATGAGGTAACTGCCAGCCTTATAATTCAACTCTTTTACTGAATGTATCCAACTCCCAGTATCTGAAATCCTATCTATAAAACGACCAAACCACCCCACCCCCCAATTAGATTCTAGTCTATGTTTCACTCCGGGGTATTTGTTATCCTAGATAAGCCCCTCAGTTAGATTCAAGTCTAACTCATTTCCAGGTATCTGTTATTTTGTGTGTAAATCCCTTGATTGGATTCCAGTATGTAACTCACTCCCAAACAGCTGTTATTTTATATGTAAACCATCCTGAATTCCGCGATTAGATTCCAGTAAGTAATTCACTCCTGTGTATCTGTTATTCTAGCTACTCTGTCAGTCTAGTGCTGTTTTCCATTAGTTTTCCTTGATAGTTGACCGATTGTGTGATCTCCACCAACAGGAGATTGGAGAATTCTCTTTGATACTCAGGGTTAACTTCAATAGTTCATCCGCTGATATGCATCCATCATAATCGTTCCTGACCTATCAATTATGTTCAAAAACAGAAGTTGCTGGAAAAACTTAGCAGGTCTGGCAGAACTGAGGAAGGGTCACTGGACCCAAAACATTAACTCTGAGTATTCTTCACAGATGTTGCCAGACCTGCTGAGCTTTTCCAGCAACTTCTGTTTTTGTTCCTGATTTACAGCATCCGCAGTTCTTTCGGTTTTTATTCTGCCAATTATGTTTCCTGTTTTGACTTGCAGTGCACCGAAATGGAGAAAACTGGGCAGGAGCCATCACTACACCATGTGGTTGAAGAGGTAGGACTAAGCATGACCCTGGTTTTTCAATATCCAAACAATGCTGTTGCTTCCAGTTCTTCCAGGAGAGGAGGAAGCATGCATCGAATCTGCTTGGGCAAGTTTGTGTACAAAGTGACGCTGACATAGTGATAATCTCAGAATTCTGATTACTCCTCTTGACTAATTCAGGTCATATTCTAAATCATTGAGCACAACATCTAAAATACGTTTATTGGGCCCATTCAATTGGATTTATCCACTATGGCTGTTAATTAATTTGTAGTGGCTATTCTTTTCTTTCTGACATCATTCATTCTTCTTGATATTTTAAAGAAACCTAAATCTCTGCCCCACCATCATTGTGATTCTCTTATGACGTAACCAGTGAGTGACCTCTCTCTGCTCTGACTCTCTCTGTGCTGTTCATCATTCTCAAACACACCATCTCCGGATGCTGTTATTCAGTCTCAAAAAATCATTCATAGAATATAGAACTGTACAGCACAGGAATGGGCCCTTCAGCCCATGATGTTGTGCCGAACATAATGCCATACTAATCCCTTCTGCCTGCCCTTGGTCCATATCCCTCCATTCCTGGATATTTATGTGCTTATTTAAAAGTCCCTCAAATGTCCTTATCGTATCTGCCTCTGCCACCATCCCAGGCAGTGCATTCCAGACTCCTACCACTCTCTGTTTTAAAAAAACACCTGCCCATCACATCTCCTTTGTACTTGCCCCCCTCAACTTAAATGCAAGTCCTCTAATATTTGACATTTCAAGTCTGGGAAAAAGATTCTGACAGTCAACCCTGTCTATGCATCTCATAATTTTATAGTCATCTATCAAGTCTCCCCTCAGCCTCTGCTGCTCAAGAGAGAACAGCCTGAGTTTTTCCAGCCTCTCCTTGTAGCTCATATCCTCTAATCCAGGCAGCATCCTGGTAAACCTCTTCTGCACCCTCTTCAAATCCTCCACATCCTTCCTGTAATGTGGTGACCAGAATTGAACTCAATACTCAATGTGTGGCCTAACTAAAGTCTAATAAAGCTGCAACCTGACATCCTGACTCTCGTACTCAATTTCCTGACCAATAAAGGTAAGCATACCATACGCCTTCTTTACCACCTTGTCTACTTGCATAGCCACTTTCAGGGAGCTATGGTCTTGAACCCAAGATCAATGCTGTTCAAAGTCCTGCCATTAACTTTATTCCTTAACATTTGATGTCCCAAAGTGCAGCACCTCATACTGACCTGGATTAAACTCCATCTGCCATTTCTCCACCCAAATCTGCAACTGATCTATATCCCACTGTATCCTTTGACAACCTTCCACTATCCACATCTCCTCCAATCCTTGTATCATCTGCACACTCACTAATCCACCCATCTACATTTTCGTCTGAGTCATTTATATATATCACAAACAGCAGAAATCCCAGTATGGATCCCTGCAGAACACTACTAGTCGTGGACCTCCAGCCTGAAAAACAGCCTTCCACACTACCCTCTGTCTTCTGTGGGCAAGCCAATTCTGAATCACAGCTCAGTCACTATGGATCCCATGCATCTTAATCTTCTGGATGATCCTACCATGAGGGACCTTGTCGACAGCCTTACTAAAATCCATGTAAACAACATCCACTGCTCTACCCTCATCAATCACCTTTGTCACCACCTCAAAAATTTAAATCGTTAGTAAGACATGACCAGCCCCGCACAAAGCCATGTTGACTGTCCCTAATTAGGCCATGCTTTTCCAAATCTGCATAAATCCTATCCCTTAGAATTCTCTCCAATAGCTTCCCAACCACTGATGTGGGACTCACCCATCTGCATTTTCCTGGATTATTCCTATTTCAATTCTTGAATTTAGGAACAACATTAGCCACTCACCATCTTCCGGGACACCTCCAGTGGCTAGCAAGGATGCAAAGATCCTTGGTCAAGGCCCCAGCAATCTCCTCTGTTGCCTCTCTCAATAACCTGGGTTAGATACCATCAAGCCCTGGGGATGTATCCACCTTAATACTCTTCAAGAAATCCAGCACCATTTCTTTCTTGATCTCAAGATGCCCTAGCATATCAGCGTGCTCCACACAAATCTCAGTATCCTCCATAGATACTGTTGCAAAGTACTCGTTTAGGATCTTGCCCACATCCTGTGCCTCCAAGCACAAGTTCCCTCCTTTATCCTTGAGTGGTCCTACCTTTTCCCTAGTTACCCGCTTGTTTTTAATGTATCGACACAATGCCTTGGGATTCCCTTTAACTCTCCTTGCCAAGGTCGTTTCATGGCCTCTTTTGAGTACTTGCCTGCTTTACTTATATTCGTCATGAGCAGTGTCCAGTTTTAGCTTCCTAAACCTCACGTGCTTTTTCTCCTTTTTGACTAAATTCACAACCTCCCTCATTATGCAAGAGTCCCTTACGTTGCCATCGTTGTCCTTCCTCCTTACTGAAACATGCTGGTCTTGAACTCTCTCCAGCAGGTCTTGAAACAGTTCCCACATGTCAAAAGTGGACTTGCTTGATAACAGCTCCTCCCAATTAACACTCCCTAGCTCCCGCCTAATACTGATGTAACTTACCCTCCCCCCAGTTTAGTATCTTCCTGCCAGGTCCTCACTTATCCTTGTTCATAGCTATCTTAAAACTTAAGGAATTATGATCACTGTTTCCAAAATGTTCTCCCACTGAAACGTCAGTCACCTGGCCAGGCTCATTAGCCAATACAAGGTCCAGTATAGCCCCTCTTCTAGTTGGACTATCCACATACTGTTTCAAGAAATCGTCTTGGATGTACTTAACAAATTCTGCCCCGTCTAAGCCTCTTGCTCTAAGGGAGTCCCAGTCAATCTTGGGGAAGTTAAAGTCACCCACTACGACAACTCTGTTTTTATTGCACCTTTCCATAATCTGCCGACATATTTGTTCCTCAATGGCTCGGTGGCTGTTGGGGGGGCCTATAGTATAATCCTATTGCACCCATCTTATTTTTGAGCTCTACCCATATTGCTTCAGTGGATGAGCCCTCCAGTATGTCCTCTCTGAGGGCAGATGGAACGTTTTCCATGATCAGTAATGGAACTCTTCCACCTCTTGCCTTCCTTTCTATCTTGTCTAAAACAACCAAAGCCTGGAACATTGAGCAGCCAGTCCTGTCCCCCTCTCTCAACCAAGTCTCTGTAATGGCCACAACATCATAGTCCCATGTACTGATCCAGGCTCGAAGCTCATCTGCCTTGCCTATAATACTCCTTGCATTAAAATAAACACAGTTCAGCCCATTAATACCGCTGTGTTCATTCACCTGTCTCTGCCTGTCCTTTCTTTCTGATTTACTGGTCTCAACATCTACCTTCCCCTCAATCCCTCCACTTGCTCACCTGCTGCTCTGGTTCCCAGCCCCCTTCCACTCTAGTAGCACTAGTGAACCTCCCTGCGAGGATATTGGTTCCCTTCCAGTTTAGGTGCAATCTGTCCCTCTTGTACAGTGGTCTCAATGATCCAAGAACCTGAAACCGTGCCTCTTGCACCAGCTCCTTAGCCACACATTCATCTCTTCTATCTTTCTGTTCCTTGCCTCACTAGCACATGGTACTGCTATTAACCCAGAGATTACTACTTTCAAAGTCCTGCTCTTCAGCCTCTTTCCTAACTCACTGCATTCACTCTGCAGGACCCCATCCTTCTTACTGTTTATGTTGTTGGTACCTATGTGCACCAGGACCTCTGGCTGTTCACGCTCCCCCTTAAGAATTTTGTGCAATCACTTAGAAATGTCCTTGACCCTGGCACCAGGGAGGCAGCACACCATCCTGGAGTCTCGAACACAGCCACAGAAACAGCTGTCTGTGCCCCTAACTAGTGAGTCTCCAACCACAATCACTCGCTTGGATCCTGCCCGACCCTGCTCTACAGCAGAGCCAGTTATGGTTCCACAGGCTGCTGCTATTATACTACCCTGAGAGGCTATTGCCCTGCCAACAGTATCCAAAACAGTAAACCTGTTAGAGAGGGGAATAGCCACAGGACACTCCTGTACTACCTTCCTGCCTCTCTTGGTGGTCACCCATCTACTTGACTGAACCTCTGGTGTGACCACCTCACTGTAACTAGCGTCTATCACACTCTCTGCCCCCTGTGTGCTCCTTGGTGCATCCAACTGGACCACACTGTCTGTGAGGAGCTGCAGCCAGTCACCCTTCCTGCAGACATAGTCGTCAGGGACACTAGGCTGCTCCCTGATGTCCCACCACTGCCCTAACTGCCATCTCTGCCCCTTTACACAAAGAAAGATAAAAGAATCTTTTGCCTTTACCTTGGTCATCATATTCACTGAAGCCCAGGATTCACCTGCACTTGTATCAACTAGCTGCATTGACTGGTTCCTTAAATTACAATGCATTCTTAACAAGCAGACCAAATACCCTTTAGGCTACAACAAACTTCTTAACAGTCTCTCTCAATCTCTCTGTCTCCTTTGTTTTTCGGTTAGAACAGGCAGGAAGTATGGAACACGTTTCTTGACATTGGGTTCTTCCTCACTCCGCTGATCAGTTGTAGTGACTGAGCCGACTTCTCTCCAGAATGCTCAGTGACATTGCTCTGCCGTCCTCTATTCGATTCAATACAGGGACAGCATGGAGTTAGACGCAGAGTAATGCTCCCTATACTTTTTTTAAACTGAAAGTAAAGCTGCTCTATTCTTTTAAACTAGAGGTAAATAGAAAATGAAGCAGCACTTCTTTCTCTTTGACTTATCATTGTCCATCATTTTGTCTGCTCAACTGCTGTTTTCTCTCTCTAGGCTCAATCTCTACCTATTGTTTACTCCTTTAACCACCTGTCTTCAGCATATACACCACCTTTCCCCAGCTGCCATTGGTTCTGAAGGAGGGTCATTGGACTTGAAATATTAACTCTGTTTGTCTTTCCACAGATGTTGCCAGACCTGCCAAGTTTCTCCAGCAATTTCTGTTTTTATGTGTTATCTTGGTGTTTTGAACTTTTTCAATATTCAATATTTGCTTTGTGTCTAGACAATGCGAGAGATGATTGCTCGTTCCACAGCCACTATCGTCACTCATCCCTTTCACGGTAAGTATATTTCATTGTTTTTGAACATTGTTGCCATGCACTAGTGCTGAATGAGAAAGGTGGAATGTTGACTTTGTTGTGTTCCTTTGCAGTGATCACATTACGATGCATGGTGCAATTCATTGGCCGGGAAACAAAATACAGGTCAGTGCAAAAAATATTTTTTTTTTTAAAAAACCAAAAGAACTGCAGATGCTGTAAATCAGGAACAAAAACAAAGTTGCTGGAAAAGCTCAGCAGGTCTGGCAGTATCTGTGAAGAAAAAGAGTTAATGTTTCGGGTCCGGTGACCCTTCTTCAGAACTCCCTACCAGACCCAAAATGTTAACTCTTTTTCTTCACAGATGCTGCCAGACCTGCTGAGCTTTTCCAGCAACTTTGTTTTTGTTCCTGAATAGTTTTTTGCTTAATTCACGGGATGAGGGCGTTGTTGGCTAGGCAGGATTTATTGCCCATCCCTAATCGCCCAGAGGCCAGCTAAGAGTCAACTACATTGCTGTGGGTCTGGAGTCACATGTAGGTCAGACCAGGTAAGGATGACAGTTTCCTTCCCTAAAGGACATTAGTGAACCAGATGGGTTTTTTCTGACAATCGGCAATGGATTCACGATCATCGTTAGACTCTTAATTCCAGATTTTTTATTGAATTCAAATTCCACCATCAGCCATGGCGGGATTCGAACCCAGATCCCCAGAATGTTAGAGTAAAGGGAAGACCTTTTAGAACAGAGATAAGGAGAAATTTCTTTAACCAGGGAGTGGTGAATCTATGGAATTCACTGCCACATGAGGCTGTGGAGGCCAGGTCATTGAGTATATTTAAGACGGAGATAGATAAGTTCTTGATTGTTAAGGGGATCAAGGGTTATGGGGAGAAAGCGGGTGAATGGGATTGAAAAACTTATCAGCCGTGATTGAATAGCAGAGCAGACTGAATGGGCTGAATGGCCTAATTTCTGCTCCTATGTCTTATAGTCTAATGTTATCTGGATCTCTGGATTAACAGTCCAGCGATAATACCGCTAGGCCATTGCCTCCCTCTATGTCTTGTTTTAGATTACACAGTGAGGACAGGCAGTGTCAGAATGTGAGAGAGTCCCTAGTTATCTGAACAGGGGCCATCTATCCACCACAGTAGAAAGGCCGATTTGAATGCTGGAATGTTCTACAGTCTATGTCTATTGAAAGCTGCCACAGGTCTTGATACTTTGTGCTACAAATATCCCAAAATTCTCTGCAGGTGCTGCTTGGCATTGATCTCCAAATTACAATGCCATTGGACCAAAGCAAGTGCATGAGTTCTGCACAGTTATAGCGTTCACGTAGATGAGTTTGTGTACACTTGGACTGTTCAGAGTCTGCACTGTTGTAGCATTCACATACAGTGTGTGCACTGTTATGGCATTCACATAAATGTGTGCGGTTCCAGTTCATGCAGACGTCTGTGTGTGCAGATTTATACTGTACACGCGCACACATACACAGACACACACATATGTCTGTAGATTTAGACCATTCACACAAGTGTGCATTGTTAGAGCATTCACATAGTCGTGTTTGTGTACAGTTAGACTGCAGGCACAGCCAGAGTCTTGTCACAGATGAGCGCATGTACACAGTATTGTCTATTGATGGAAGTGTGTGCACATCATTGCAATGTTGAGGCAGATGAGTGTGCAGTTGTGGAATACTGGCGTTTGTGTGTGTGTGTGGTTACAGTAATCAGATAATATGTACATGGTGATTGCATACTATTGAATGAGCCTGAATATAGTTACACTATTCAGAGAGATGAGCATGTGTAACATGTTTGGTGTATCTGTGGCATTTGTGTGGCTTTTGAAACCCTCATATAAGGTAATCATTATGCAAGTATGGTCACTATACTGACACTTGATCCGTTTTTGAACATTAATTGTTTGCTTTTCCATTGTTGGACTTTACAGTGGGCTATTCGGTTCCATAGTAACAATCTACGAGGAAGAGGGAGTTTTTGGCTTTTTTGCGTAAGTATAGATTGAACCACGAATGTGTTGAGAATAGAACCTTGAAACTTTTTGTTTGTAAAATGTCAGCAGATTGATTCAACTTCCAAACATCCAGGGACATCTGTGAGTGCTGCCCATTTTGAAAGAATGATGGTTTACGTATGGGTGCAAGTGTAGTGATGGTCAGTTAAAAGTAGCAATAAGCCCTTAGAACGAGGCACATACCATTTATCCCAGTGGTTATCCTGGGCACTATTTATAGTAAAACAGCATATGTTAATGTCAGGAATGTTATCCTTGACAAAAAGCAGGTGAGAAAGCTTGTTAATAGTGTGATTGCTGTGTTCTTCCTATCAGAGTTTCTGTTTCTTCTGTATCATCACATTTGGTTCAATTTGTTATTGTGCTCCATTGACATGCATTTTGCTTTCTGTGTTTCGGTGCTGTTTAGCCTCTAGAAGCTATGATAAAGAGGGTTTGTTTGCTGCACAAAGCATGTAACACTATGATGTTCAATGTGCTGCATAAATCTAACTTGTTAATCAGCCTGTAGCCAGAGAAAGATGTGAATTTTCCAAAATACTTATCACAACCTCAGGATTCCCTGAGTATTATATAGCCAATGAAGTAAATGTGGTCACTGCTGTAATAAACAGAAATTAGGGCAAAGTTCCATTAGTACATTAGATTAAATGATCAGATCTCCATACTAATGCGAAGCCGGTGTGAATCTCTCTCTGATCCCAGTGTGGAGAGGGCCGGTGTGAATGTCTCTGATGCTCTGTGCTATGTGTCTTTCTGCAGTGGTCTGTTTCCTCGACTGCTGGGTGATGTGATTTCTTTATGGCTTTGTAACATGTTGGCCTATCTCATCAACACCTATGCATTGGAGCCCCCCAGTCAGGTAGGTCACAAAATGCTAACACACCTCTCAGTAGGTCAGCATTTCCCTGAGGTAGGAGGCTTGCAGAATGGGGGTGAGGGGAAGGAATTGGAACTGGTTGGAGTGGGGATGAGGATGTCTGAGGTAGGGTGAGTGGGTTACAGGAAATATTTGATAGGCTAAGGGGGTTATTTGGGGTGGACAATGTGATCCTGCTGAGTGTGAAGGAAGCGATGGACGTATGGCGACCTTGCATGAAGCTCCTGAACTGCAAGTATTAAAAAGCCTTGAAATTTTCTAGTTTTTATGGACAGGGGCATGTAAACAACTGAGTCCTCCTGGTAATATTGGGTTTTGCTGGGGCATTTCCTCACCATCTTAGGAGGTGGTGGCAGAGTTGGGGTGTTGTGATTCCTCCCTGGCCAAAGTGTAGGAGGAGGCACAAGGGAGTGCGGACAGATGATAACAGTACCCCAGCAAAGGGTCTTGGAGGGTGTGTGGGTGCGCTGAAAATGACAGAATCCAGGAGGTTTGTTTGTCTGTTGAACTGACCCTCTGCTCTCTAGCTCCGTGGTTAAACATTAGCAGCTTCCCTTTCCACACAAACCCATGGTCAATGTAAAGTCCCACCCTCATCCCAGTAATTGCAGCTGGTCAATAATGCACCCTTCTTCTTTCTGCGACTTCTACCTCAAAAATGATTTCACCCTCTAATTTGCAGTTATTTTTCTGAGAATCGAAGAAAAATCTAAATTATTATAAATTATGAAGAAGACCTGTGGGTTCTGGAAATCTCAGCTCTAAACAGCAAGTAGCGAGCAGCTCTCACTTATGTCCCTTGATTTCTTAGAACCAGTGGGGATGGAGGGAAGAGTGCATTGATTAGACAGTGGTGGCTAGCACCTGGGAGAACATAATTGTTTAAGCCCGGAGAAGGCTATTTGGCCCAGCATGTCTGCACTAGTTCTCCAAACGAGCAATCCATTTTGTGCCATTCTCCTGCCTTATCCCTGTAACCCTGCACATCTAATTCCTTCTGCCTCCTTCAGCTGAACCTCCCTCCCAGACCCTGACCACTTGCTGTGTGGAAAAGTTTTATCTCTTACCCGTTTTGCTTTCTTAACCATTTACTCCAAAGCTGTTCCCTCTGATTCTGAATCCTCTGACTAGGAATGGTTTCTCCCTATCCTCTCCGTCTTGATCCCTCATAATTTTGAAATCATCAATCAAATCAGATAGTCCCAACGTGTCCAATCTTTTGAGGAGAGCACTGAGCAACCAGTGAGTGGTGGCAGAGCTGGAATAGGAATGTTGGGTGCCCTGCATGCTTCTAGCTGGAGGCTGGGAGAATTACTGTTGTGCAGTGAACTGTTGGGGGCTGTGTTGATGACTCTGATGTATTTTAGGGCTCACACATCGGGGAGCTGAGGAGTTACTCACAGGCCGTGACTGGGGTGAGTGCCGTTCAGTTTGAGCTATCATTTTATTCAATTACAGCAGCAATTGCACTTCACACTGTAATGGTACGGTACCACAATACAGCCTTCACTTGGGCTGAAACTAATGTTCTCATCTTGAGCAACTTCCCCAATGCATTAACAAACCAACTCTGCAGAGATAACATAGTGTGGAGAGCATCTTCTGTTGGTTTTAGTGCCTCTTGCAGTAATAAATTAGGCAGGACACTGCTTGCCTCCGACCAAGGGTGAGGGGCCAGTGTCAAACAGATGTCTGAAAAACACTCAGTTGTATTGGTGTGACATTGGCTTTGGTGAGTCTGCAGGTTTGGATAGCCCAAAATCAGAACGTGCACACAAGCCGGAGGTTCTGCAATGAACAAGAACTTAGATTTACAGGTTTTCTCCTGACAACTTAAACCTGAAGACACAGAACCTGGTGTTCTGAGCCCTGTCTGGTCAGCTACAGATACAGTAACTCCCAAAGATGTCTGGCCTGTGTTCCAGCTGCTGCTTTATGGAAGCATTTTCCCTCGGGATGAGCATTCGATCACTGTCTTGTCTCCACATTTCCTTCACAGTTTCTAGCCAGCATGCTGACATATCCCTTTGTGCTTGTGTCCAACCTGATGGCGGTCAACAACTGTGGGTGAGTCTGGCATTCATTCATTTTCCAAGCTGTAGCGCAAAGTGAGGCTAGCCTCCAACAAACAAGACCCAAACCTTGTGCATGGTGTTGGCTGCAAACGAACTTTCAAACTGGCATTAATGTATTTATGTTTGAATCGTTTGCTTATAGAAATTAAGAATGTTATTCCTGAACCATAGAATTTTCTTATCTCAACTGCCTACTGTTTGCAACTGTATCAGGACAGAACTGCACAGGGTTAGATTATACAGTAAAGCTACCTCTACTGTTTTAAATTGAAAGTAAAGCTCCCTAGATACTGTCCCCATCAGACACTCCCAGGGAAAGCATGGGGTTAGATATAGAGTAAAGCTCTCTCTACTCTTTTAATCTGAAAGTAAAGTTCCCTCGATGCTGTCCTCATCAAACACTCCCAGGAAGGACTGCATGGGGTTAGGTACAGAGTAAAGCTGCCTCTACTCTTTTTCAAAGTGAAAGTAACGCTCACTGGATGTTACCTCTATCAAATATTCCCAGGAAACATACAGCACGCATTAGATACGGAGTAAAGCTCCTGCTACATAGTTCCGTGACTGTCTTTCAGCACCACTCTGGAGTACTGCTCCCGTTTGGTTTGGAAAAGATTATTGCAATTCATCTAACACATGTTAAAAGCTCTAGTTTCTACCTAATGTAGTATTGAGTGTCCCACCTAGTGTCGTCTGTGGCAACTCAGCCCTAGGTGACAGCTCCAGCAGTGGTGATTAATATAAGGAGTAGGATTGAAAGTGAGAACTGTCAGAATGTCAGCCATAGAGCTGCTGCTGTAAGGGAACACAATCATTGTCTTGTTGCTGGCTGTCAGCATGTGGGTAAGAGCGGAGTCGATCTTGGTGATGAACTGTCTAACAGCAGGCTGTCTCCACTTGTGCTGGTTGCTGAATTGCTGTCTATTCTGTCTGTCTTCCCCAGGCTGGCTGGTGGTCTCCCTCCTTACGCAGCAGTGTACTCTTCATGGATTGACTGCTGGCACCAACTGAGCCGAGAGGTGAGTTGATGTTCTGGTTGTGCTGCAAGCCACTTCAATCTGTTGTAACCAAATGCACATACTATGCGCTCAGTGTAAAGTCTCCCTGGCCCACGAGAGGGAGCTTGGAGTGATTTCAATCCTTTACATAAAGAGATCAAAGCTGTATACAGTGTTCTCAGTGTGTTCTCACTAATTCTAACAAGAATTCCCTGCTTTAATATGCTACCTCTTTCCAATAAAGGCTGACATTTCACTTGCCTTCCTAATATATCTCAATAAGTGATACTTCAATACCTTGGCACAGTGCCTGCTGATGCTGAATGTTCCCGTGCCTCAGTCTATATGACTGCCAATTCATGCCAACTCTCACAGTTGTTCCCTCTTGAAGTCTTTCATCCCAACCCCAGATGTAATGAGTGGTTCCTGAACTTAAGCTGGAAAATTACGACTTTGATAAATTGACGCAGGAAAGTCTGGGCAAAGACTGCAATTACAGAGCTTTCAACTTCAAGATCTCAAACAGGTTGAGGCAAGTCAGGATTGGAAAAGTCTGAAATTGTGTGTTACCTAATCGAGCAAAAGGACCTTGGTGCTTGTCTGTGAGAATTGCACCCGAGTGCTGTCTAACAGATATGGCTGGGTACAATTACAGGGAAAGCCTTGGAACCCTACAACCCAATGGTCTCAATGTGGGCTTTACTAGCTTTAAAATCTCCCTACCCCGACCTCATCCCAAGACCAGCACCCCCTCACATCCCCACCTCCTTGACCTGTCCATCTTCTCTCCCTCCTATCCGCTCCTCCCACCTCACTGACCAACCCCCACCCCCACTTCCTACCTACACTCACCTTTACTAGAAATCATGTTGTACTACTTTCAAGGTCAATTTTCTCAGGTGTGCTGTGAGAATTAGACACAGTACACCGGGACCGTTCATCTGTGGCTTTGAATAGCTTTACTACTTTAGAGATGAAACATTCCATCAGCCTTTTCAATTACCACTGAATGGACCATCAACTCCACTTTCCTGCCTTATCTCTATATCCCTTGATTCTCCACTTGCCCAAGCCTGTCATTTTTTTGATCTCTGACATACAGGGTATTCACTGCTGTCTAGGATAGAGAATTCCAAAGGTTCACAACTTTGAGTGAAACAAATTTCTGCTCCTCTAAGTCCTAACATTTTATCCTGAGCTAGTGACCCCTGCTTCTAGACTTTTTTGCCAGGGGAAATGTCATCCAGGAATGTTTTCAATTTGATTACCTCTCGTTCTTCTAAGGTCCAGTGAATTTAGGCCCATTCAACTAGATCACTCTATTACCTGATGAGGCAGAAAGAGCGTGGTGCTGATCTGTAGGGAATTGCACCCATGTCCTGTCTAACAGAAAGATGAGCCTGGGTACAATTACAGCCCTCTTCCTGGACTGGCCCACCCATTCCAGGAATCAATTTAATGAACATTTGTATCCTCTCTAAAGCCCAGAACATCTTTTCCAGAACTGTACACAGTGCTCCAATTCACATGTTTTCACCAAAACCTCAAATAAAGGCAGCTCCCATAATCTTGTACACCAACCCTCTTGCATTAAAAACTAACATACGAGATCACAAAGTTAAATTGTTTTACAACATCCAAACTCCTTTGGAATATTACATTTACTAGTCTCTCACCATTTTTCTAAAGCACTTCTGCTTTTCAATTTCATCTTCAGTATATAATCCCACATTTCTCATTTTTGGAAGGTCGAATTTGAATGCAGAATACAGGGTTAATGGCAGGATTCTTGGCAGTGTGGAGGAACAGCGGGATCTTGGGGTCCATGTCCATAGATCCCTCACAGTTGCTACCCAAGTTGATAGGGTTGTAGAGAAGGCGTATGGTGTGTTGGCTTTCATTGGCAGGGGAATTGAGTTTAAGAGCCATGAGGTTATGCTGCAGCTCTATAAAACTCTGGTTAGACCACACTTGGAATATTGTGTTCGGTTCTGGTCACCTCATTATAGGAAAAATGTGGAAGCTTTAGAGAGGGTGCAGAGGAGATTTACCAGGATGCTGCCTGGACTGGAGGGCAGGTCTTATGAGGAAAGGTTGAGAGAGCTAGGGCTTTTTTTCATTGGAGCGAAGAAGGATGAGAGGTGACTTGATAGAGGTTTACAAGATGATGAGAGGCATAGACAGAGTGGATAGTCAGAGGCTTTTTCCCAGGGCGGAAATGACTATTACGAGGGGGCATAATTTTAAGGTGATTGGAGGAAGTTATAGGGGAGATGTCAGAGGTAGGTTCTTTACACAGAGAGTGATGGGCGTGTGGAATGCGCTGCCAGCAGTGGTATTGGAATCAGATACTTTAGCGACTTTTAAGCGACTCTTGGATAGGCACATGGAGGATAGTAAAATGTAGGGTGTGCAGGGTAGATTGATCTTAGTAGGATAATAGGTCAGCACAACATTGTGGGCCGAAGGGCCTGTACTGTTCAACATTATACATATCTGTCACCTACTTGCCCAATCACTGAACTAGTCTATTGCCCTTTAGAGCTTTTTCAGATCCTTATCACAGCTGTCTGTTCAGATTGGAGAAACTCTGCAGGTCTGGCAGCACCTATGGAGAGTTAATGTTTCAAGGCTGATATGATTCCTCTGGTCTCTTGCTGTCTAGCTGAATGGCTGCACCATTTTTAAAGAAAAACCTAAGTAAATTTGCTGAATGCTATTTAATTTTGCCTAATCGTTGTCACCTTTATTTCCCTAAATGCTGTGTTAACACGTGCGTAATAGATTCTAGCATTTTTACCATTACCGGTTTTTGGCAAACTGATGAGTGGTTCAAGTTTGGAATGCACAGCTTAGCAGCGTAATAGAGGCAGTTCAATTGAGGCGTTCAAGACAGCATTAGACACGAACATAAAAACAAGGCACAAGAGTAGGCTGCTCAGCCCCTTGAATCTGGTCTGCCATTCAATAAAATCATGACTGATCTGATTTTAACATCAACTCTACATTCCTGCACAGCCTGGTAATTTAAATTCAAATCTTGTGTAAGGTACAGGGGAAAAAGGGACATGAATAGTACTTAGTCTATACTCATTTGGAGAGCCAGTGCAGATGCAATGGGCCAAATGGCCTTCATCTCTGTAACACAGTGATTCTGTACATCATTCTTTTTATTTGATATCTGACTGCTGCATTTTCTCTGTCTTATTTTATTGATATATTTACATATATATTATGTATACGTGGATTCCTAACTTACTCCCTACGTTTTCATCATTTTAAAAAAGACTTGCTAAATTCAAGGATGAGAGAGACAAATTCCGAAAACCAGGCTGGAAAATGGAGTTGACATGTTGAGATTAGCCATGATCGTATCAAATGATGCAGCAGACTCGAGAGACTATGTAGTCTACTCCTCCTGTTTTGTACATTCTTGTACCTAAAATATTAATAAATATAGTGATCCTGACGCTGGGATTTTGGTTAGGCAACAGAAAATTGTCAGACAATAGCTTTCCTTCATCTCTGTGAGCTTTGATTTCAAGAATTTCTTAAGTGGAATCCTACTGAATGTCTTCTGAAAGTCTGTATAAACGATATCCCCTATCCATAATTCAGTTACTTTCTCTAACTATTCAGTTTTGCTTGTTAGAAATTACCAACCTTTACCAGGTAAGTTAAGTACATATGAGTTAGGCTGGGCTGTATTCCCTCACACTGTAATGTGGCAGTTCTTTTATTGCTGCATCACCCAGAAGATATGGTGTAGCTGAAACATGCCACATATATTAAAGATGGTTCCCACCGACGAGCCCTTTGGAGTTGTCAGGGTCTCTGTGCGATGGTTCCGAACATGTTTTTACTCCTAAAAGTAGTGTTAGCTCCAAGAGTGGAGAATGGTGCAGGTGGGTGGCATTTGTGAAACTGACTGATATAAGCTTTGACCATTCAGCCCTTTACACCTATTCCACTGTATACTTAAATGCTGTCTGATCTATACTGTAACTCTAGCTACCACCTTGCTTCCATAACACTCAATATGAGGCTAGGATTTACTCCCTCTCTCACTCACTAACTAACAAACTTCAATTTTTAAAATTTTGATTAATCCCCAGCCTCAAAAACCTTTAAGGGGTGAGTGTGTCAGATTTCCACTCCCCTCTGTATGAAGAAGTACTTCCCGATTTCATCCCAATTGGTTTAGTACTGATTTTTAAGATTATGCTCCCTTCGTCTGCACTCCCCTGTTGGACTGCTTTGACAATTAATAGTTACAATACACAATAACATACTGAGTTGGAGGCCGCCATCTCCATTTCTGCTTGGTCCCGATAACTGGTCTGAGGTGGGATGGCAGTACACATGCTGCATGTACATTTGTCCCTAGGTCAGTGTCCAGCGTTGACAGGACAAACCTAATCTCAGTGGAGAACAACAGAATGGCTCCATTGTCATTCTCAGGCTGTGATTTTTGCAGTGGTCTTTATTCCTCCTCATTTTGGTGGGAGAGAATTCAGCCACAGTTCCCACTGTTAATCGCTATTCAACCCTTATGAAGGCCATGATGTGCCTGCAAATGTCCAATGATCTGGTTCAGATAAAATGCCCAGTTTCTCCCATGGCAAAACGTCCAATGAAGTTGACTGTCAAAGTTTTGAGATAAAGGTTTATAATTTACTATCATTTGGGAATTTGTTTTTAAAAGTGCAGGCAAAATAAATTTTATATTTCAGCTATGTTGAACATAATTTTTTATGAGAAGGTCAGAAGTTCATTTGGAACAGTGAGCTAAACGTCCTTTTCAAGAGTGCATGGGATTAATTTAAGTGCCTTGATCAGACACCCGTAGAGTTATTTGATGCCATGGTTACAAATTTGAACTTTTATGACCTACAGAGAAACAGATGCTCAAGAGCCCCTAGAGGTATTCAGCTGAGAAGAATGATCTCATCAACAGAAGAGCATGTCAGTTTGTGAGAGTTTACTTTGTACATGTCTCCCAGTGGTGTGAGTTTGTAGAAGTCTTCTGGCTGTCCAAACTGAAAGGAACACGCGGCACAGTGACTCAGTGGTTAGCACTGCTGCCTCACAGTGCCAGGAATTCCAATTCAATTCCACCCTGGGGAGACTGTCTGTGTGGAGTTTGCACATTCTCCCCGTGTCTGCATGGGTTTTGAACAGGTGCTCTGGTTTCCTCCCACAGTCCTAAGATGTGCAGGTTATGTGGATTGGCCGTGCTAATTTTCCCATAGTGTCCAGGGATGTTCAGGCTAGGTGGATTAACTATGTGAAATACAGAGTTAGAGTTATAAGGTACAGGGTGGGTCTGGGTGGGATGTTCTTCGGAGGGTCGGTGTAGACTCAATGGGCTAAATGGCCTGCTTCCACGCTCAAGGGATTCTATGATCTATGAAATCCAGAACCTCCGAACCAGAAAGAAGTCCTTTGATCATGAAGAGTCAGTTGAGTAAGAAATCTTAACTTTAAGACAGGAGTAATACTACAGTGAGATTGAGTATCTATAAACAATATTGCTAGGAAAAGAGTTGAATCTATCTTGTTCTTTGTGTTAAGATCTTTCAAAATTGTCACATTTATAGTTGGTTTTATTATATTGTATGAGATAAAGCTGTGTTCTCAGACCAGAGGGCATAGTCTCAGAATAAAGGGGCACCAACTTAAGACTGAAATAGAACATAGAACAGTATAGCACAGTACAGGCCCTTTGGCCCACGCTGTTGTGCCGAACTTTTACCCTAAAACCTAAGGTCTATCTAACCTCCACCGCTATCTTATACTATCATCCATATGCCTATCTAATAGCCGCTTAAATGCCCCTAATGAGGCCGACTCCACTACCCTCTCCAGCAATGCATTCCACGCCCCACCACTCTCTGAGTAAAGAACCTACCCCTGACGTCTCCCCAATATCTACCTCCTTTCACTTTAAAACTATGTCCCCTCGTAAAAGCTACCTCCACCCTAGGAGAAAGTCTCTGGCTGTCTACTCTATCTATACCTCTGATCATTTTGTACACCTCTATCAAGTCACCTCTCATCCTTCGTCGTTCTGAAGAGAAAAGCCCTAGCTCTCTCAACCTTTCCTCATGAGACCTTCCCTCCATTCCAGGCAACATCCTGGCAAATCTCCTCTGCACCTTTTCTAATGCTTCTACATCTTTCCTGTAATGAGGTGACCAGAACTGGACACAATATTCCAGATGTGGCCGAACTAGGCTTTTGTATAGCTGGAGCATAACTTCACGGCTCTTGAACTCAATCCCTCTATTAATGAAAGCTAACACACCATACGCTGCCTTAACAACTCTATCCACCTGGGTGGCAGCTCTCAGGGAACTGTGAACGTGAACCCCAAGATCCCTCTGCTCCTCCACACTGCCAAGAATCTTTCCGTTAACCCTGTATTCTGCTTTCAAGTTTGTCCTTCCAAAATGAATCACCTCACACTTTTCAGGGTTAAACTCCATCTGCCACTTCTCAGCTCAGCTCTGCATTCTATCAATGTCCCTTTGTAACCTAGAACAGCCCTCTTACATTATCCACAACTCGACCCACCTTCGTATTGATCGTGAACTTGCTGATCCACCCTTCCACTCCTTCATCCAAATCATTTACAAAAATCACAAATAGGAGAGGACCCAGAACAGATCCTTGTGGTACACCACTCGTAACTGAGCACCATGTTGAATTATGTCCGTCCACTACCACCCTTTGTCTTCTAAGGGTCAGCCAATTCTGAATCCAATCTGCCACATTTCCCCCTATCCCATGCCTCCTTACCTTCTGCAGGAGCCTACCATGGGGAACCTTATCAAACGCCTTACTTAAATCCATGTATACCACATCCACCGCTCCACCTTCATCCACGTGTTTGATCACCTCTTCAAAGAATTCAGTAAGGTTTGTGCGGCATGATCCCTCACAAATCCATGCTGACTATCACGAATCAAACTGCTTTTCCAAGTGATCATAAATCCTATCTCTCAGAGCCCTTACCAATAATTTGCCCACCACTGACGTAAGACTAACTGGCCTGTAATTTCCGGGGTTATCCCTGTTCCCTTTTTGAACAAGGGAATGATGTTTGCCTCTTTCCAATCTTCCGGCACTATACCTGTGGACAGTGAGGATGAAAAGATCATTGCCAAAGGCCCTGCGATCTCGTCCCTCGCTTCCCATAGAATCCTTGGATAAATCCCATCAGGCCCAGGGGACTTATCTATCTTCAACTTCCTCAGGATTCCTAGCACATCTTCCTTACTAACATCAACCTCCTCTAGCCTACCTGCCTGTTTCACAATGCCCTCCACTACAACTAGGTCCCTCTCAGTTGTGAATACTGAAGAAAAGTATTCATTAAGGACCTCTCCTATCTCTTTAGGCTCTGTGCACAAATTCCCTTTCCAATCCTTGATCGGCCCTACCCTTTCTCTGGTCATTCTCTTGTTCTACGCATACGTGTAAAAAGCCTTGGAGTTTTCCTTGATCCTATCCGCCAAGGTTTTCTCATGTCCCCTTATAGCTCTCCTAAGCCCTTTCTTCAGATCCTTCCTGGCTAACTTGTATCCCTCTAGAGCCTTTTCCGTTCCTCTTTTCCTAAACCTTACATAAGCCGCCTCCTTCCTCTTAACCGGTCGTTCGACCTCTCTCGAGAACCATGGCTCCCTCACTCGACCGCATCTTCCCTGCCTGCTAGGGACAAACATATTGAGCACATGCAGTATGCATTCCTTAAACAATCTCCACATTTCTGTGGTGCTCTTCCCTGACAGCATCTGTTCCCAATTTATGTTACCCAGTTCTTGCCTAACAGAATTGTAATTACCCTTCCCCCAATTGTAAACTTTACCCTGCCGTATGTACCTATCCTTATCCATGACTATCGTGAAAGAAACAGTGTTATGATCGCTACCGCCAAAGTGCTCTCCTACCAACAGGTCTAACACTTGGCCCGGTTCATTGCCAAGCACCAAATCCAAAGTGGCCTCTCCCCGTGTTGGTCCATCTACATACTGTGTCAGGAATCCTTCCTGAATGCACTGGACAAAATCTGCTCCATCTAAACTATTAGAACTAAAATGTTTCCAATCAATATTTGGAAAGTTGAAGTCACCCATGACTACAGCCCTGTGACTTCTGCACCTTTCCAGTATCTGCCTCCCAATCTGCTCCTCTACTTCTCTGCAACTATTAGGGGGTCTGTAAAAAACCCCCAACAATGTGACTGCTCCTTTCTTGTTCCTGACCTCAACCCAAACTGACTCTGTAGACATATCATTCTGGAAATAAGGAGAAATTTCTTCTCTGAGGGTTGAGTGTCTTTTGAACTCCTTGACACAGAGCTACGGGGCAGAATCCTTGTGCATGTTGAAGGCTGAGATATGTAGACAAGGGTTATGGGGAGGAAAAGGCAGGAAAGTGGATGTGAGGAATTTCAGATGAGCCGTGATCCTAATGAATGGCAGAACAGGCTCAAGGAGCCGAATGGCCTATTCTTGTTTCTTAGTCGTCTTTTTGAATTTGAATTCAATATAGATCTGGAAATGAGAGTCAAATGATGACCATGAATCCATTGTTGATTGTTGGAAAAAACCATCTGATTTACTAATGTCCTTAAGGATGGCAGTTTCCTTCCCTCACCTGGTCTGGCCTACATGTGACTCCAGACCCACAACAATATGGTTGACTCTGAACTGCCCGGTGAGCAATTAGGGATGGGCGATATATGCTGCCTAGCCAGCGACACCCTCATCCTGTGAATGAATAAAGAATAAAGACTTTTTTTTTGTAAATGTAAATTGCCTGAAACCTGTGAGTACCTTCAGTGACTAAACACAACAGTAACCAAGCTGCAAAAATAAAACTACTTATCTATTAACCCAAGTTTCGTTCTGTGGCCTACTTGCCCTATATTACCATCAGCTGTAATTATAATTTAGATATGAAGAATAACTGGTTAGACAAGTATTGGCACACCAAGTACCAGCATGCCGAGCACTCTGTATGAGATAGTGTTACACCATGCCCCAAATATAGGTGTTGTTGAACCACTTTTTAAATACTGACACAAAACAGAAACACTGCAAATGCTTGAAGTTTAAAATAAAAAAAAAACACTGGAATGCTCACCAGGATAGGCAGCATCAATGAGAGACCAGGCTTAATGTGAAGTTATACACTTCAGTGTGAAAAACTGAAATGGATAGTATCATTTAAATGGTGATGTATTGGGAGGTGTGGAAGTACAAAGGGATCTGGGTGTTCTTCGACACCGGGCAATGAATGTATTAAGGCAAATGGTATATTGGCCTTTAGTGTAAGATTTGAATTTTGTTTCTGTAATTCACAGAATGTGGGCTTTGCTGGCTAATCCAGCAGTTATTGTCCATCCCTAATTGCCCAGACACAGCATTGCTGAGAGTCTGGAGTTACATGTAGACTAGATCAGGTAAGGATGACAGATTCTTTCCCTGTGGGACATTAAGAAACCCATCTGGTTCACTAATGACAACCAACAGTGGTTGCTATTAGATTAGCTTTTATTATTCCAGATTTTTTTTGTTGAATTCAGATCTCACCATCTGTCACAGTTGGATTCAAACATGTGTTCCCATGGGTTGCCACCCCATTGACATCCACTTCAGAAGTAGGGCTGTCCTTCTGCAGTTATACAGGGCTTTGGTGAGACCACACCTACGCTATTTTATATAGTTTGCTCTCCCTACCTAAGAAAGGATATACCTGCGATTGAGGGAGTGCAATGGAAGTTCACCAGGCTGATAGCTAGAATGGCAGGACTGTCCTGAGAGGAGAGATTGGTTTGACTGCACCTGTATTCACTAGGGTTTAGAATGATAAGAGGGAATATGACTTAACCATATACAATGCTAACAGAGCTGGACAGACTAGATGCAGGAAGGATGTTTCCCCTGGCTGGGGAGTGGAGAACCAGGGATCACAGTCTCAGGATACGAGGTAACCCATTTAGGACAGGAGACAAAGAAAAATGTCTTCACTCCAAGGTTGATGAACCTGTGGAATTCTCTAACAAAGAAGGTTGTGGAGGCTACATCACTGAACATATTAAAGAAAGAAACAGATAATCTTTTTAGACATTACAGATGTCAACAAGTATGGGGAGAAAGGGAAATATGTCATTGAGAGAGTATCAGCCATAACCATATCAAATGTCAGAGCAGGTTTGAAGGGCCAAATGGCCTAAATGTGCTCCAAGTTTTTATGTTTCTGTGTTAATAATTCAAGCTGCGGCCTTTCTTCATTTCTGCTGAATATTTTGGGTTTTATTTGTTTTGATTGTAGTCCTGGTACATTTGGTATTTCCGTGTGTGTTGCAGTGCCAAGAATGAGTCTTAATGCTGCTCTGCCACCAGAATGTGATGTTGAGCCTGTGTAGCTCCTTTGCCAGCTCCTGCAGTTCCTCTGCCAGTTTCCTTTGAAAAGTTTTCTCCCAAAGTTGTATTTATTTAACAATTTAAATTTGTTTTTCTTGCAGGGAAACCTGAGCCGAGGAAACAGTCTATTTTTCCGGAAGGCTCCAGCTGGACGAACGTATGCAGTTGAACAAAAGCGATTTGTGTAGATGCACGAGGTGATGAGCTGCGAACTGAAAGGGTGAGGGGTGGGAGGTGCAGTCTAATTTGTATGATTGTGTTTTCAATGACGTACATGCAGTTTTTAATGATGTATTGTCGATCCACACTGGCAAAATGAATTATTTTATGATGGAATGAGATTGTCTTTGATTTAAAGAAGAACATATTTTAATTCCCTGTTTGTTATCCAGTGGTTTGTACAGTGAGTGGTTTCTTTGTGAAAATGAGGATGGTGTTCTGAGTGCCATGTTCCTGGGAATGGGGTACTCTGTCCTTGCAGCAGCATTCCCATGCGAGATTTGAGGCTATAGTAACCCACCTCTCACTTCCAGCAGCATCATCAAGTCTGTCTTACATGTAACAGCAGTATCTGATAATCCCAGAACAAATACTGTTCAAAATTTCTGGTCTAACTGACTCCTTGCTTAACTGTGGCCTGCCCAAGTGTTTGATCGTGAATGAGGAGTGGGGGAACAATTCTGTCTGTTACTGCAACCTCCTACTATTAGTAGCTGGGATGCCAGTGGACTACTCTTTAGTGGAAAAAGCGGATGTCTCTCCTGCTGCTGATGCTCTTCCCTTTCCTCTCCTCCTCATCAGGAAGGAGGTGGGCAGCACTGAAGATACTGTGTACCTCACTGCATTGTTCAGCTTTCCTGAGTGCGGCCCAAGTAATGAGCTGTTGGACTGGGGAGGGGTGGCGGTGGCTATGATGGTTATGGGGATGTTGCAGCCAGTCCTGATCTTGTTCACCTGCTTTCCAGCAGGATGTGATCAGGAGCTGGGACTCTGTCTGGTTCCCCTGCTCCCAACAGAGGCACTGAGAACAGTTAAAACAGTATTGCAGCCAGGCCTGCAACTTGGTTAATTTGGCATGGACCATGGGTTCCTCTTGGGGATTTTGTAACCAACCTTCCACTCAATCTGGCACTGGGTCAGTTCCTTTTTGGACTGACAGGGTAAGATGGGCATCATTTTCCTCAGTTCTATTTGGAAATGAACATTTTCGCTTTTGTTTCCCCGATCCTGTAACAGGACCAGTCAGTACTCGGGGATCCAGCTGATGTGAACGTTCCAAAGCCCTTGCGACAGTCCTGTCTGCAGTGAGTGTCCACAGCCAGCACTGGGGAGTGTTGTGTAGCCCTCCAACTGTACTGGTTCCTTGCTGAATGAGGTACAATGATAAAAGAGCAGTAAAGCAGGCCTTTATGTGTAGGATTCATCAACTGCCATGTGTTGGAGTCTATTTAATAAAACAAATTTGCATAGCACTATAATATTTTGTAAAATACATCATTCTGACAGTGGCTGCTCCCCATGTTAAACTGAGCCTGGTCACACTCAACCATTTTGCTTGATCCATGAATGTTATTCTGCTAAGTTCAATTTAGAAAAAAGTATATCTAATTGAAATGCTAATTAAAAATGTTTGATTCCAGTACAAATAAGAGAATTTCTGCTCTTCCCCTGTGTTGGGAGCTTGTATTTCCCTCCTCTTCAAGCTGACCAGATAGTCTGATGAGAGAGTGCGGAATCGGGCCTGTTTGACATTTGTTTTTGTCATATTTCACATTCGTCCATTCAGGAATCACTCATAAAGCTTCGGTTACTTCTGTAAAGATAATGATGAGGTTCATTGGTGCCTTCCATTAGTGTAGTATACACTGGGAAATCCCATGTGCATTGGAATTGGAAGTTGGTATGTATATTTACTCACCCAGATGTGAGAGGGAAGGGCCAAATGGTCAAGTGATCTATTGCACTTTCTAAATTGGCACCCCCATCCATTCCTTCCACCACCAACACTCAGTAGCAGCACTGTGGACCATCCACCAGATGCATTGCAGCAACTCTCCAAGGCTCCTTCAGCAGCAACTTCCAAACTCATAACCACTGCCGTCTAGAAGAAGGATAGCAGATGCATGGGAACACCACTACCTGCAAGTTCTCCTCCAAGCCACTCATCACCTTGACTTGGAAATATATTACGCTTCCTTCAGTATTGCTGGGTCAAAATCCTGGAACTCTCTCCCTAATGCCAGTTGGGTGTATCTGCAGCCCAAGACTGCAGTGGTTCAGGAAGGCAGCTCATCACCACCTCAAGGACAATAATGCTGCCCCAGCCAGCAGCTCCCACATCTAGTGAATGAATTTTAAAAAAATGATATACATAAAACAGGAACAAAGGACAGCAAATATACAAAGACATCATGATCTGCAATCTTGTAACACCAAAGATTCGATCTAGCTACGCAACTAAAAAGGGTTAAAGGGAAAGAAATTAGAGAAAGTGTGAACATAGCAAGCGAGGAAGCTTTTTAAATGCAGTATCTTTTAATGATATAATGCTAACCTATGTGCAACAGGAATACATAATGTAAAGGACGGGAGGTTCAATGATGAATACTGGAATGTACAAAAAGACACATCGGAGACACAGATGAGGAAGGCCTATTGCAAACTCTTTCAGTCCAGTAGCCAAAGAGAGCAGTCCAGGAACAGCAAAGTATCATCAGATATATTCATTGTCTTGAGAACATGAGCACTTTAGAGAGAGCACTTTAGAGAAAACACTTTGACTACCTCAATAATTCACAAGCGCCCAACCCCAGTAAATAACCCAATTAGAATGAATAAGGAATACAACTGAGGTTGAGTTATGGAGCAGACCAGCGGGCCTGAACACTAATAAATCTCTTGAGATCGATGATGTGTTTTTGATAGTTCTGAGAAACCAAGTAGAAAATATGAAGCAAGAAACATATAATTGAGTATGTCAAGACCCAAATAGATGGATAAAGAGACTAATGTGATGCCTGTACTCGGACGTCCAAAAAGGGAACTATCTCTTTGTAATAACATGAAATGTATATAGTAATAACCTAACAATCAGCATGGACTTCAGAGAAAGCATCTCAACCTTTTTCAAGAAATGATTCCTAAATGGACTGCAGGAAGATTGGAGATTCCAGCAGGTCTCTGACTAAGTTTCACTTAGGATCAAACCTGTTGGACTATAACCTGGGATTGTGTGACTTCTGACTTTGTCCACCCCAGTCCAACACCGGTATCTCTACGTCACTTCAAAAGAATTTTCAATGGACTCAAAATGTTAACTCTGTTTCTTTCTTTACAGATGCTGCCAGACCTGCTGAGTTTCTCCAACAATTCCTGTTTTTATTTCACTCTAGCATCCACAATATTTGGCTTGTAACTCTATTCACATTATTCTGGCTTCCAAAATGCACCTCTTCACACTGAATAGTATTGGATCACATCTGCTATTTGCCTATTTTTATTGTCTATCGATGTCTTCCTGAAGTCTGTGGCAATTCTACTCACCATTCACTATGTCACCAACATCTCAATCACCTAATAAACTTTGGAATTGTGTTCCCTTTATCCATGTTTGGATCATCCATATATAAATAAAATCAGAGAAGTGATCATAGAAGACCTACTGTATAGATGCAGGCTATTTGGCCCATTGAGTCGGCAATACCCTCCAAAGAGCATCCCACCCCGTACCTGTGCATTTCCCCTGGCTAATCCACCTAGCCTGCACACTCTGGTCAATTTAGCATGGCCAATCCACCAAACCTGCACATCTTTGGATTGTGGGAGGAAACTAGAGCACCTGAGGAAACCCACGCAAACACTGGGAGAATGTGCAAACACCACACAGACAGTTGCCCGAGGGTGGAATTGAACCTGGCTTCCTGGAGCTGTCAGGCAGCAGTGCTAACCACTGTGCTATGTACTGCCCCAGATAAGATCACTTTGGAGGGTCGGTGTGAACTTGAGGGGCCAAATGGCCTGCTTCCACACTGTAGGGATTCTATGATTCTTCTATGATCACTTTTCTGGTTTTATTTATATATGGATGATAATCCAGATATGATCACTAAGGAGCCTCTGTTCATACTTATCTCCAGTTTACCCCTACTCTTTCCCACTCCTATCTTTTAACCAATTCTCTACCCATTGATCTATTGAAACCTTCCACTGCCCATGTGCACACTACCCTCTCATGGCCTCCAACCACTCACTTAATATAATTTCTCTACACATGTACACATTCTATTATCATTGACTGCCACATATTTACCCTGCTGCTATTGCTCTTGCTCTCTCTCTCTTTTTCTTTCTCTCTCTCTCCCTCTCCTCTCTCCCTTCCCCTCCAACTCATAGGACCTTATTATTTACTATCTACCTTAATGATTTGGAGGAGGGGACATTTATCCATATTTACTAATGATACAAAAATAGGTGGGAGGGCATGTTGTGATGAGAAGAAAATCTCAGGCAGTGTAGGCACTGCAGTCATAGGGATTGTGTAGCAAATTCTGAAAAGTATCTTTGGGATATTGACCAGAAAACATTAGTAAAACAGATTAATACTGGGAGAGATATTGACCAGGATAATTCACCTTCCTTCAAAATAGTGTTATGGGTTGACACATACGTACACCAGAGAATAGATAGGGCCTTGATTGCTGAAAGACAACATTCATCCCCTTTCAGTACATGGACCAGAGGGACATGTAACCGCTCAGGCTTGTATTACTATTCAATCAGCTAAGGAGATTTCTCTGACCAAACTTCATTTATCTACCTCTACTCCATTTATCTATCTCTACCCCGTGTCCTTTGAGAGGCAGGAATTAATAAACATCAGATTTCAACTTAATACATGAACCTAGCATCAAATTCTCTTTGCAGGAGAGAGTTCCTTTGTGCTACTTGCAGTCCTGAAAAGCCTAGCTTTAACTTTTAGTTTCTGTCCCAGTGTACTTGACGTTCAAGAGAATGAGAGTTATTTCTCTAAACCAACTCTACGTCCATTGCTGAGGATTCTCAACTTGCATTCATCAGAACAGATGCAAGAATACCAAATTTCAAACAACTGCAGCAGAAAAGGATGCAAGTTGGTCAGCAAGTTGACTCTGGCTGATGCTTGGCTATGAAAAAGGAGTGCAGATCTGTAAGGACCCACGCTCCCAGGTAATTCAAAACATTTGCAAGGTTTGAACGTATTCAGTTTGCAAAGACCAAATACCATCAAATGTAAATGAGTTCAACTGATTAAATTGATTGTTTGTGTAGCAACTGGCACACTTGCCATCATCTCCTGTATTTTGTTTTTACCAAGACTTCCACTGTGAAACACAAAACTGTTACAGTGCAGAAAAAGGCCATTGAGCCTATTGTGTCTACATTGGCTTTCTAAATGAGGAAATCACTTAGTGCTATTCCTCATCCTGTCACCCTAACTGTTCATGCTTTTCAGATAATTACCTGATTGCCTGTTGAACACTCTGACTGAACTGGCTCTACTATCATCGTAGGAAATGCATTCCAGACCTTAACCACTTGCTACTTTAAAACATTTTCCCTCATATCATTAATAAGATCAGATATGATTAGGCCAGAGTGGACTGGGAACCGATACGTCCAGCTAAACCTGCCTCAGAAAAGTGAGATGCATTCAAGAAGGAAACATTAGAATGTTGAGGGCCAACGTGTTCCAATAAAGAAAACGGTGGGACCATCAAATTCTGTGGACTCTGGATATCAATGCATGTACAGCATTGGATTAAGAGAAAAGGGGAGGCTTATGGCAGGCACCAAGGGCTCAAAACAACAGAAGCACGAGAGGAGTAAAGAATATGCAAAATGGAACTTGAAAACAGAGATTAGGAGAGCTGTAAGGTAATATGAAAGGATACTGGCAGGTAAGCCAAAGGAAAATCCTGAATTGCTTTGCAGGTAGATTAAGGGTAAAAGGATAATGAGGGAAAGAGTAAGCCCGTTAAGGACCACAGTGGTAATTTACGTGGAGACAAAGGCTGCAGGTTGGATTCTAAATGAATACTTTGTGTTGGAGTTCATAGCTGAGAGGGATAATATGGGTACAGAATTAGGGAGAAGGACTATTATATAGATCTGGCAGGTTTAAAACTAGATAAATCTCCAGGCCAGAAGAGATGTATCCCAGGTTGTTGGCTGAGGCAAGGGAGGAAATAGCAGGGGTGCTTAAAAAGTTTTTCGTTCCTTTCTGGTCACAAGAGGAGGATAGAGGACAGCCAAAGTGGTACTGTTATTCAAGAAGGGAGCAAGGGATAAACCAGGAAACTACAGGCCAGTCAGTCTAACCTTGGTGGTGGGGAAACTATTGGAAGCAATTCTGAGGGACAGAACGAATCCACATTTGGAGAGGGACGTATTAATTAAGATCGGTCAGCATGGGTTTGTTAAAGGGAGATGATGTCTGACTAACTTGATTGAATTTTTGAAAGAGGTGACTGGGTGTATAGATAAGAACAATGCTTTTGATATCATCCACTTGGACTTCAGTAAAGCTTTTGATAAGAGCCCATGGGAATCAAGAAAATTTGGCAAATTGGATCCAAAGTTAAATGAGTGGCAGGAAGCAGAGGGTGACAGTTGAAGAATGCTTACCAAACGTGGCCCACTAGGCAATCGCATTCCACGCACGGATCCAAGCAATCCAGTAGGGTCCCGCAGTGATCAGTGTTGGGGCCCTTTATGTTTGTGGTTTATATAAATGATTTAGATTTGAATGTAGCAGGATTGATCAATAATTTCATGGATGAGACGAAAATAGGTCGGATGGTAAATAGTAAATTATGGAAGGATATAGACAGGTTGGTCAGATGGGCTGATTAGTGGCAAACATAATTCAACTGGATAAAATGTGAAGTGATGCACTTGGGCAAAATAAACAGGGCAAAGGAATACATGATGAACGGTAGGACTCCAGCAAGCACCGAGGATCAGAGGGACCTTGGTGCGCGCGTACACCAGTCCCTTAGGTATCAGAACACATAAAGTGGATACAGTCTCAGTGGGGCGGCACGGTGGCTCAGTGGCTAGCTCTGCTGCTTCATAGCGCCAGGGACTTGGGTTCAATTCCACCCTTGGCGACTGTCTGTGTGGAGTTTACACGTTCTCCCCGTATCTGCGTGGGTTTTCTCCGGGTACTCCGGTTTCCTCCTACAGTCCAAAGATGTGCAGGTTAGGTGGATTGGCTATGCTAAATTGCCTGTAGTGTTCAGGTATGTGTAGCTTAGGTCGATTATAGCAGGTCTGGGTGGGATGCGCCAAGTATCGGTGTGGACTTGTTGGGCTGAACGGCCTGTTTACGCACTGTAGGGATTCTATGATCTTTGATAGAACAAAACAGTTTAAGACTGAGATAAAGAACAATTTCTTTTCTCAGAGAGTTGAGTATCTTTGGAACTTTTTGCCACAGAGAGCTGTGGGGGTAGAGGCCTTGTGTATATTTAAGGCTGAGATAGATTCTTGATCAGTAGGGGAATTCAAGGGTTATGGGGAAAAGACAGGAAAGTGGATGAGAGGAATGTCAGATCAGTCATCATCCTATTGAATGGCAGAGCAGGCTCAAGGGGCTGAATGGCCTACTGCAGTTCCTATTTTTTATGGATCTCTGTAAAACATTACAAAAATCCAAGACACCCAGCTCTATAAAATCAACGTCCTTTGATCTTTTAACGAAGGTAGGTTGGCTGATTTAATATTTTTCAAGGCCAATAATCCATTCTCATTATCAAATATACCATTTGCTCCTCTCTCGATCTTAAATTGGTTCTGAGACTATGCTGTCTGGTCCTAGACTCTCCCATGAAAGGAAATATCCTTTTAGCATTGACCCTGTCAAGCCCCTTAAGAATCGTACATTAAGAATGGGAGGGGGAGTTGAAATGGTTCGCGACTGGGAGGTGCAGTTGTTTATTGTGAACCAAGCGTAGGTGTTCTGCAAAGCGGTCCCCGAGCCTCTGCTTGGTTTCCCCGACGTAGAGGAGGCCACAACGGGTACAGCGGATGCAGTATACCACACTGGCAGATGTGCAGGTGAACATCTGCTTGATGTGGAAAGTCTTCTTGGGGCCTGGGATGGGGGTGAGGGAGGAGGTATGGGGGCAGGTGTAGCACTTCCTGCGGTTGCAGGGAAAAGTGCCGGGTGTGGTGGGGCTGGAGGGGAGTGTGGAGCGGACAAGGGAGTCATGGAGAGAGTGGTCCCTCCGCAAAGCAGATAAGGGTGGGGAGGGAAAGATGTCTTTTGGTGGTGGGGTCGGATTGCAGATGGCAGAACTGTCGGAGGATGATGCATTGGATCCGGAGGTTGGTGGGGTGGTACGTGAGGACGAGGGGGATTCTTTTTTGGTTCTTATTGCGTGGACGGGGTGTGAGGGATGAGGTGCGGGAGATGTGGGAGACACGGTTGAGGGCGTTCTCGACCACCGAGGAGGGGAAGTTACGGTCCTTGAAAAACGAGGACAACTGAGATGTACGGGAGTGGAATGCCTCATCCTGGGAGCAGATGCGGCAGAGGCGAAGGAATTGGGAATAGGGGATGGCATTTTTGCAGGAAGGTGGGTGGGAGGAGGTGTATTCTCGGTAGCTGTGGGAATCAGTGGGCTTGAAATGGATATCAGTTTCTAGGTGGTTGCCCGAGATGGAGACAGAGAGGTCCAGGAAGGGGAGAGAGGTATTAGAGATGGTCCAGGTGAACTGAAGGTTGGGGTGGAAGGTGTTGGTGAAGTGGATGAACTGTTCGAGCTCCTCGTGGGAGCACGAGGCAGCGCCGATACAGTCATCAATGTAACGGAGGAAGAGGTGGGGTTTGGGGCCAGTGTAGGTACGGAAGAGGGATTGTTCCACGTAACCTACAAAGAGGCAGGCATAGCTTGGGCCCATTCGGGTACCCATAGCCACCCCCTTTGTCTGTAGGAAGTGGGAGGAATTGAAAGAGAAGTTGTTGAGGGTGAGGACGAGTTCGGCCAAGCGGATGAGGGTGTCAGTGGAGGGGGACTGGTCGGGCTTGCAGGACAGGAAGAAGCAGAGGGCCTTTAGGCCATCTGTATGGGGAATGCAGGTGTATAGGGACTGAACGTCCATGGTAAAGATGAGGTGTTGGGGACCGGGGCATTGGAAGTTCTGGAGGAGGTGGAGGGCGTGGGTGGTGTCACGGACGTAGGTAGGGAGTTCCTGGACCAAGGGGGAGAAAATGGAGTCCAGATAGTTGGAGATAAGGGCCCAGTCACGAACCATTTCAACTCCCCCTCCCATTCCTCAGACGACATGTCCATCCTAGGTCTCCTGCAGTGCCACAACAATGCCACCCGAAGGTTGCAGGAACAGCAACTCATATTCCGCTTGGGAACCCTGCAGCCCAATGGTATCAATGTGGATTTCACAAGCTTCAAAATCTCCCCTCCCCCTACCACATCCCAAAACCAGTCCAGCTCGTCCCCACCTCCTTAACCTGTTCTTCCTCCCACCTATCCCCTCCTCCCACCTCAAGCCGCACCCCCATCCCCTACCTACTAACCTCATCCCGCCCCCTTGACCTGTCCGTCCTCCCTGGGCTGACCTATCCCCTCCCTAACTCCCCATCTACACTCACCTTTACTGGCTCCATCCCCGCCTCTTTGACCTGTCTGTCTCCTCTCCACCTATCTTCTCCTCTATCCATCTTCTTTCCGCCTCCCCCTCTCTCCCTATTTATTTCAGAACCCCCTTCCCCTCCCCCATTTCTGATGAAGGGTCTAGGCCCGAAACGTCAGCCTTTCTGCTCCTATGATGCTGCTTGGCCTGCTGTGTTCATCCAGCTCTGCACCTTGTTGTCTCGGATTCTCCAGCATCTGCAGTTCCTGCTATCTCCATCATCCCAATGAATGTTCTCTGAACTGCGTCCAATCACATAACTTTCCTTAAGTAAAGGGACCAAAAAGGCTCAGTATTCCAGGACTGGTCTCACCCGCACCATATGCAGTAGCTAATAAGATCATGTGTAATTGCTGGTGTTCGGATCTTGCTGTGCTGAATCTGCTGCTGATTTCCTACATTACAACAGTGCCAACACTTTGCAGCCTGCATCCTCCCAGGGAGCTGTTGCAGCAGCCTGTTTGGACACTTGACTCCCAGCAAGACCCGCGCCCCTGCCCCAAACAAAGATGGCGGCGGCCGTGACAACACTCAGCACTTTCGGGGCCCACGTGATGGAGTCAGGTAAAATCGATTACTGCCGGGAACGGTAGATTCGACGCGCGAGTTGCGACCAAACCTTTGAATATTATTTTAAAAAAGGGAGGTGGCGAGGCCGGCGTCGGTCGACGCAGTTCGCGCGGGTGAGATTGCCATCAGCGGCATCAGGACGGAGAGTATCAGCTGTCACAGGGACGGTGCGGCCCGGTTCGGTGAAAGTGCGAACAGGAATCGAAAACACAGAGCAGAACGGAAAATGGCGTCTCTGAACGAGAGGTCCGTGTGGGATGAGGTGGAGGTGAGATTCAGAAATATAATAATATAAAGGCAGAGAGTGATATTATCGTATAACGTCGAGAGGGAGAGGGAGAGAAGTCCGCTGAGATGAGGTGAAGTTAAGAGAGAGAAATGTAATGTATAAAGTTAGCTCGGTCCATTGGGATGAGGTAGAGGTGAGGGAGAAATATATTCCAGTGTAGTACAGAGAGGGAGTATGGTGATGGTTTGTGTTAACTTTTGAGAAACTCCCAGATTCAGGAATGGTTCATTTGGACTGGAGAATAACAAATATAAACCCATTATTTAGGAAGCGGGGGTGGGGGGTGGAAAGAGGTGTAGAGAAGGGGAAACTATAGGTTAGAGATAAGTAAGAACTGCTGATGCTGGAGTCAAAGATAACACAGTGTGAAGCTGGAGAAACACAGCAGGCCAGGCAGCATCAGAGGAGTAGGAAAGCTGATGTTTCGGGTTGGGACCCTTCTTGTGGTGTACTGGTAATGTCCCTGCCCCTGGATCTGAGTAGCCTGGATTCAAGTCCCACCTATTCCAGAGGAGTGTAATAACATTTCTGAACAGGTTGATTTAGAAACTATAAGTCAATTACTTCTTATGTCGGTTGTCAAAATCGATCACCTCAGGAATATATGCTTGAGGGAGTTAAACTCCAGGTAATCGGGAAGAGTTGGCATGTTTTTTTCGTGACAGGGAAATTGTGAGTGATTAATTTATTGGAATCCTTTTGAAGGTGGAACATGCTGTGGAGAAATGGGAACCTGTCGATGTACAGTAGTTGGATTTCCAGAAGACAGTTGAAAAGATGCCAGGTCAAAGCAGAAAATAAAAGCTTATGTGTAGGGGATAACATATTAGCATGGATCGAGGATCGGCTGGCTGGCAGAAAAAAGAGCATTTATGAATGGGTTTTTGTCTAATCGCAGGATACAACAAGTGAAGTCCCACAGGTGTGTGCTGGGACCTCAACTTCTTACACTTTACATCAGTGATTAAGATGAGGGGAGTGAAGGGGCATGATAATTAAACTCGTATTAATATATAAATAGGAAGTATGTTGTGAAGAGAACAAAGGGAGTCTGCAAGTGGATACAGACAGATGAGTGAGTGGGCAAAAATCTGGCACATGGAGTATAATGTGGGTAAATGTGAAGTGCTTCACTTTGGCAGGAAGAATGGGGAAAAAAATTAATTTTGGTGATTTGGAGAATGACTGCAGACTTCCGAGGTGCAGAGGGATTTAGGTGTTCTAGTGAGTGAGTCACAAAAAATTAGTATAAAGGTACAGTATGCCATCAGAAGGACTGGCCAGTAGCTAGTGTTCCTCTGTTCAAGAAAGGAAGTAGGGATAATCCAGGAAATTATAGACCGGTGAGTCTCCCATCAGTGGTTGGGAAACTGTTGGAGAAGATCCTTAGGGATGGGATTTGGGTGCATTTGGCCTAATTAGGGACAGTAGAGCAGAGCAGTGGATGACATCTATGTGGATTTTAGTAAGGCTTTCAACAAGGTTCCCCATGGTAGGCTCATCCAGAAAATTAAGATGCATGGGATCCACAGCGATGTGGCCATTTGGATTCCAAATTGACTTGCCTATAGAAGACAGAGGGCAGTGGTGGAAGGCTGTTTTTCTGGCTGGAAGTCTATGACTAGTGGTGTTCCGCAGGGAACTGTACTGGGACCTCTGCTGTTTGTGATATATAAAAATAACTTTGAAAACGTAGATGCTTAGGTTAATAAGTTTGCAAATAACGCAGATCAGGGGAGTTGTTGATAGTGTAGTAGGTTGTCCTAGGAAGCAGCAGGAGATAGATCAGTTGCAGATATGGGTGGGGAAATGGCAGATAGTTTAATCCAGGGAAGTGTGAGGTATTGCACTTTGGGAGATCAAATTTTAAGGGAAAGTATGTAGTTAATGGTAGGATCCTTAACAGCATTGATGTACAGAGGGATCTTGGAGTCCCAGTTCATAGCTCCCTGTAAGTGGCCACACAAGTAGATAGGGTGGTAAAGAAGGCGTATGACATACTTGGTTTTATTGTTCAGAACATTGAGTACAAATGTTAGGATGTCATGTTGCAGCCTAACAAAGTTTTTTGTAAAGTATTGCATTCAATTCTGGTCGCCACAGTACAGGAAGAATGTGAGGCTTTGCAGAGGGCGCTGAAGCTGTTTAGCAGGATATTGCCTAGATTAGATGGCATGAGCTATAAGGACAGGCTGAACAAACTCGGGTTGTTTTCTCCGGAGTGATGGAGGCTGAGGGGAGACCTGATAGATGAATATAAAATTATGCGATGCATAGATAGGGTTAACAGTCAGAATCTTTTTCCCAGAGTTGAAATGTCTAATATGAGAGGGCATGCATTTAAGACGAGGGAGAAATTTCAAAGGAGATGTGAGGGACAAGTTTTTTTTTTAACAGAGTAATATATGCCTGGAACGTTCTGCCAGGGACAGTGGTGGAGGCAGATACAATAGGGGTGTTTAAGGGGCTTTTAGATAAGCACACAAATATGCAAAGAATGGAGGGATATGGACCATGAGTAGGCAGAAGGGATTAGTTTAATATAGCGTCAGCGTTGTGGGTCGAGGGGCCTGTCCCTCTGCTGTACTGTTCTATGTTCTAAAAGGGTTAGTGGGATGTTATCTTTTTCTTACAACAGGAATTGAATATTAAAGGAAGGATGTGCTTCAGTTATACAGGACATTGTTGAGACTATGTCTTGAATACTGTGCACAGTCTTAGTCTTTTTTATTTAAAGAAGGATGTAAATGTTTTGGAGGCGGTTCAGAGAAGATTCACTCGATTGATATCTGGAATCAGTGGGTGGTCTTATGAGGAAAGGTTGGGCAGTCTGGGCTTGTTTCCACTGAGGTTTAGAAGAGTGAGGGGTGACTTGATTGAAGTATATAAGACCATTCAGGATCTTATCAAGGTTGATGTGGAAAGGATGTTTCCCTGTTTGGGTGAATCCCAAACCAGGGGTCACTGTTTTAAAGTGAGGGGTCACCTTTTCAGGGCAGAAATGAGGAGAATTGTTCTCTAAGGGTTGTGAAATTTTGCCACCTCTGAGGCAGAGTTCCAATGATTATTTTTAAGACTGAGGTGGATGAATTCTTGTTTGGCAGGGGAAATCAAAGGTTATTGGGGGTAGATGGGAATAGGGAATGCAAACCTCAAACAGATCAGGCATGATCTTATTGAATGGTGAAGCAGGCAAGTTGATCAAAGTGAATTGGGGGGTGGAAATAGGGGAAGTGAGAGTGAAAATGGAGGGTGAGTTTCGGGTGTGAGGGTGTATAAGAGACCATGATTGTTTGAGGTCTTAATTCCAAGCCTCCACCTTAACCCCATCTCCAATGTTACCTTTGGCTAAAATATAAACAACCGATCTGACATGAGATGCCACCTGTAGAAGACAGTCCAAACCATCCCTTGTGTGAGCAAGTGTTTCTGAAGTTCTCTCCTATAAGGTGTTGCCTCATTTTTGTACACTGCCCAGCCAGCAGAAATTGATAGGGTGGATAGAACCGGTTACACTTAATAGCTTAAACATTTCTACCTGTCACCCCTAAATCTTGTAAATGTTGGGAGCTAAGAGATTATCTTATTTACTCTTTCCTAATTAAACTGTTTTACCAGAATGATACGCAGAAGTCAATCTACACTGCTGTACCTGAAACCCCAGTATCTCCTTTCAAAGGTATGGGGCCCAGAGCAGCTCCCAGTGACTCCGGGGGTGGTTGAAGTAGGGCTCTGTCCAGCTGTTTGTGTTTGAGTCCTTGAGAGAAAGGCCAGAGTTCCATCAGCCTTTAGGATTATTTTCTGGACCTGTTTAATGATCTGTGTAGCTGGACCCATTCTTTGCCTCCACTGCTTTTCCCCATTGAGAAAAACCCTGGTTTCCTCCTTTTTTGGATCCCAAGTGAATGACTTCACTCACTTTGATTAGATTGCAATCCATTTAGCTTAGTTTCAGCCAATCACCGAGCTGATCAGTATCTCTAGGAGTTGATGTTTCCACCCATGCTGTTTACAGTGCTGTCCATCTTTGTTTCATCGGCAAATTTGCACTCGTATTTCTATGTCCGTGATAAATAGTGAGTAGTTGAGATCTCAACTCAAGAAATCTGGGGAAATAACATCCAGAGATATATAACATCCGCTTCTTCAGTCACCTATTCAGGAACTCTATCAGGTTGGTCAGGTCTGACCTCCCTTTTTATAAACCCAGCTGTCTCTGACCAGCTGAAAACAGTGGAGCTGTTTAATGACACTCTCATTAATTACAGACTCCAGTCATTTCCCCGTAAAAGTGTTCGATTGACTGCTCTATAACTCCCTGGTCTCCCCTTCTCACTTTACTTACATAAGGAAGGGACGTGAACAATTTTTCTGCGTAAAGGAATGGCTGTTGCCTAGACTGCATAGGGTTGGAGTGAAAAAGTATAGATGTCTTACTGCACTTAGATGGATTTTTGTACCATGAACCGCATTTGGAGTAGTATCTTCAGTTTTGGTCAGGTAAGGCATCCTCACCTTGGAGATGACATGGAGAGCATTCATCAAAACCAAACCACACCACACCCCACCCCACCCCACCATCGCAGGGGTCAGTGACGTAAGTCCAAAACTGTGTTCTCTGGAGCTCACAAGAATGGAAAGGGATCTCATTGAAACATCAACTTTTGAGAAAACCTGATAGGTATAGCACTGAAAGGTTTGTTCTCTGGCCCAAACTCCAGAGTTGGGATCATGAAGTTCGTTCATGTCAGGAGAGAAAAGAGACTGGAGAAATGCAGAGACAAAAAGCTGGCAAATTCCTGGGAGCTACTGGCCTATGTCCTAGGAATGTGTAAAAGTAGAGAGAGAAAAGAAATAATTTGTATTCTCTCCACAAACCCCCAACACCCTCTGTTTGTCTCTCCTTCCCTCTGCCCCTCACCCCTACTTGCTTCCCCCATTGATGGTTTGTTTTACTTTTTCAGGATGGCATTGGTGAAGAGGTGCTTAAAATGTCCACTGAGGAGATTGTTCAGCGTACACGCCTGCTGGATAGTGAGATTAAGGTAAATGCTCAGTACCTCAACCAGCAGTTGAAGACACCGCAGTCCTGTTTGTGCAGTGCCTGGAAGTGGGAAGATACCGCATTTCCCCTCTGCCCGTGCTGAGCAGCTGCTTGGAATGGGACTGTTAGGGCTCAGTGCTGCAAGACCTGAGGGGATTGGTCCTAATGACTTCCACAGGCCACCCAATAAAATCTTCACGTGTTAGAATAGGTGAGGGTGAATCTAGAATTTAAGGCTTTTCACATTTGAATAGTCTACCAGTACTTCAGTTACAGGCTGCCACATGAGCAATGGCTATATGAGTGAGGTAGAGAACTGTCAAAGGTATCCCAGAGTGAACCAAAGCCATGAGATAATGGTCCCAGTCTAAGAGGGAGTGTGTTTGTGTGTGAATGGAGTTTGGGTTGGTGTTTGTTTGAGTGTGACAGCCAGAATGTGTGCACAGTCCCTTCACCATTGTTGTCACCATTTTGACGTAAGCTGTCTCTGACTGATTGGCAGATTATGAAGAGTGAGGTGCTGAGAGTCACACATGAGTTGCAGGCCATGAAGGACAAAATCAAGGAGAACAGTGAGAAAATCAAAGTGAACAAGACCTTGCCGTACCTGGTATCCAATGTCATTGAGGTGAGTACATGAGGCTCCCTGAGTAGGTCCCTGCCCAAAGCTGATTGAAGTGTCAGGGAATGTGAGCACTTTGTGCTTACACCCAGGATACCTCTGTAATGACAGTCCAATTGGAGATGGCACTGCTGCATCTGAGCACATTTCAGTGTTAATCACCTTAAATCTTGGACCATCTCGTCATTGCTTTTCAACAAAGTGCAATGGAATCTGACAGCAAACAGAGCCTCAGTTTAATGACCCATCCAAAGGATGACCCCTTCCATCAGCCCGGGCTACACTCCTGGCCTGGGCCCTCCCTCGGCCTGTTTGGTTGAGCTGAAACCTTGTGCTCAGATTGTCTCAAGGGACTTGTGCTGTGACATTCAAGCACAGAAGGTGTGTACAATTACTTTCTCAGCTCTGTGAATTCGCAATCTCATTCTTTTTACCTTTTTAACTGAGGCCAGTCAACATGACCAGACATAAAGGACAAAGAGCTGCAATTGATATTTGCTATCACCTTGAAACGCGCTATCACCTTGAAACGCGCTCTCCCAGTTTTCAGTTTAATGAACCATCTAAGGGACCTCAGTGCAATGCAAAACTCCCTCGGATTTTCATAGTTCCTGCAAAGATGTCTGAGTTCCGTATGTGATTTATTCACATAGAGCAGAACTCATATGACGGCATAGATGTGGGGCTTCCCAGCTGCTGTGCAAACAAGTGATCATGCCCCTGGGGTGCTCTATGAGCCATTAACCACTTCCACCATTGTTGGGCTGTACCCTGGCACTGCTATGGGAGCAGACAGGTTTTAAAGCTAACCTGTCATGGCTTGGGGCATTATTGTGAGGGGCATTGCTAATGCCTTGCCCTGATGCTCTTTCTCAGTTACTGGACGTTGATCCAAATGACCAGGAGGAGGATGGAGCAAATGTCGATCTGGATTCCCAGCGGAAAGGGAAGTGTGCTGTGATTAAAACATCCACCCGTCAGGTAAGGAGGGCCTTAGATTTGTGATTGAAGGAGCTGTTGTGGAGGATTATGTCCCAGTACTGCATGTGCTGTACAAGTTGGAACAGTATTACTGTTTGTGAGGGGGACTTGGGAAAGACTGCCAGGTCCAGACCCTCTGTACTACTTGTACACTGAGAGCAAGGCAGTTAACTGGAGCTGGTAGGCTGGGTTATCTGCCATCGCTTGCACAGCCCCAGGAGAGAGGAAAGGAGATTGCCTCATTCTTCTCCATTAGACCAGGCAGAAGAAGTTCTGAGTCTCCTACCAGCAGCACTGTTCCCTGTACGCCCCACCTTTCCCAACCACATAGCATGTGCTGAACCACTCACCATTGATGTTACTGGGGTTGGGCTAAGTTAACGGTATAGATTTATAAAAGGTAGAGCATTCATTGTTTGTTTATTTTTCATGAAGTAACAAAGGAGGTAGTTTAAGGGATTGCAATTGATGTTGTATATGTGGATTTTAAGAAAGTGACTAGGTACCAAAATGCTCATTACTAAAACAGTGACTCAGCAAATATGAGAATCACTGTCTAATTGGACAAATAATTGACTTGAGGACAAGAGCAGTGAGTTAAGGTAGTTGGTTACTTTTCAGACTGGAGAGTTGTAGACATTGATGTTCCCCAAGGGTCAGTGCTAGGATCACATTTTTTACTTTGCTGTAAATAAATAATTTGGATATTGGAAGGCCAAGTAAGATTTCAAAATGTGCTGACTATACCAAACTTAGACAGGTGGTGTTATGATCCTAACTAATTTTATTAGACAAATCAGGTCCCAGACTGAAACTTGACTTCACAGGTCATGTTCAGTCGTTCTGGTTTTAATGACTTGGTTTCTCACTGGAATACAAACACACACTGTTGCAGGGTTGGTTTTAACAACAAAACAAATTTAATACACACAAGCAATAAGTATAAAATAAATTAGACTATTTAAATATAATGCAAATTTAAAGGTTTTGAAACAGATAGTAACACAATCCCAGCAATTCCAAAATCAGACCTTTACACATGCCAAAAGCATGCTTTCTACAGTACTGCTTTCATAGAAAAATCCCCTTCTCTATCACATTTATAGGCTTAATTTAATTGTGACTTCTATTCTCTGTCTGGAAAATCTGAGCCTTTTCCTGAAGCTTTCATTCACCTGAGTTTAAATGTTCTCGGCTTCAAATAACTTCTTCAGGGTTTTATCCAAGCACTTCTGGTCTGGAGCTATTACCAGACACCTTACTCTAAGGAAATCAATTTTCATTATCTTCTCTCTTTCTTAGGAGCCCTGCTTTGCATTTCTATCTTCATCTAAGACCTCAGAATTGCCCCAAACCGAAACCAAATTGAGACACCTTACTCTAAGCTACTGGCATTTCCCTTAAGCTTAAAAGTGCACAAGTTTCTGACTGAAACCTTAGATGCACAATTGTTTACCTAATTCATAAACTCTCCTAATGTATACAAATGTATACAAAACCTGATTAAGCTACTCCTCCATCAAGTTGTTTTGAAAGAAATGTCCATAGCTATGAATATTTAAGCTAATCATTAAACCCTTCAGATGCACAGAAAAACCCATATGTCATTAATTCAAAGTTCAAAACTCCAAACTTCAAAAGAAATGATATACGTATAAATTGCACTACATCATAATGGCTGCAGTGAGGATGACCGGAATTGATTCTAACAAATAATAAATGGATCGGAGTGGGCAGACAAATGGCAGATGGAGTTTAATACAGAAAAGTGTGAGGTGATGCAGAATGATTAGGGAAAAGTTAGGTAGACTTAATGACCCAGTTCTAAATACTCTGCAGGGACAGAGGGTGTTTACGTGCATCTGTCTTTAAAACATATGGGATCTAAGAGATGCATGGGAAATGTGAGGAGGAATTTTGTTTTACCTGTGGTACACTTTTACAAGTGGTAATGACCTAAAGCTTTCTACCAACGAAGGGTTGGAAATGAAGACTATGATTTTGAAAGGAAATTGGATGGGTGCTTGAGGTTAATAAAGCTGTGGGGCCTTGGGAATCAAGTTGGGGGGGTGGTGGGAGTCACTGCTCCACCGAGACCTAGCATGAAGGTGGACTAAATGGGCTCCTTCTGTGCTGTTGGGATTATAAACTGTTCTCAGGCTGGGTTTGGTTGATTGGATGTTTACTTCTGTCTTCTGTATGTTGGACAGACGTACTTCCTGCCTGTGATTGGACTGGTCGATGCTGAGAAACTGAAGCCTGGTGACCTCGTGGTGAGTGCATCCCACTTGTTTCTTTATTCGGACCCTATCTCTTCCACGCTTGTTGTCCTCCCCCATGGCTTTCACAGACAGTTCACTGTAACTGATTGAACCTTGTGGCCTTGTACACCTTGTATGTATCAGTGTCCCACCCCACTCTAACTCTGTGAGTGTCCTTATATCCCTTTCTGTGATGGCCTTTGATCTGCCTGTAATATCTCCTGTTTCCATTCCAGGGTGTGAACAAGGATTCCTACCTGATCCTGGAGACTCTGCCGACTGAGTATGACTCTCGGGTAAAGGCCATGGAGGTGGATGAGCGACCGACTGAGCAGTACGGTGACGTTGGGGGTCTGGACAAGCAGATCCAGGAGGTCAGTGGGTGCCTATAATGAGGGATGGGATGAGCACCAGACTGCAGCAGACACGGAGGGGACTCTCCATGTGTACTGGATGCCATAGTATTGCCCAGCTGTGGAATGTCAATGCCTGAAATCCCATTTGAGGAAAGAGTTGCTGAGTATGTGTCCGGCTGAAGGGTGGACCTTTTCTGTGATAATGATATGTTTCTCCCCGTCTCTCTCTGCAGCTTGTTGAAGCCATTGTCCTCCCTATGAATCACAAGGAGAAGTTTGAGAATCTGGGAATCCAGCCTCCAAAGGGAGTTCTGATGTACGGACCACCAGGAACAGGAAAGACCTTATTGGCGAGAGCCTGTGCTGCACAGACCAAGGTGAGAGCTGTCTGACTTAACAGGGAAGACAGAGGAAGCTTTACTCTGTATCTAACCCTGTGCTGTCCCTGTCCTGGGAGTGTTTGATGAGGACAGTGTAGCAATAGCTTTCCTTTCAGTTTAAAACAGCAGCGGGAGCTTTACTCTGTATGTGAGCTGACAGCTTTCTCCTCACTTCAGGCTACCTTTCTGAAACTGGCAGGCCCACAGTTGGTGCAGATGTTTATTGGCGATGGTGCAAAGCTTGTTCGTGATGCTTTTGCTTTGGCCAAAGAGAAAGCTCCGTCCATCATCTTCATCGATGAACTGGATGCCATCGGCACAAAACGGTGAGAAAAGTGACCACAATCGTTACACCTCCACACTGACCAGTGTTACACACCAGCATATTTAGCCCCCAACACTCTGACCGTCGATGGAAAGTAGTGGTGGCCAAATGTGGGTGTTGGATGGATGGGAGGGGAGCATGTTGAGCACATGTGGAGGGGAACGGTGCATTGGTGTGGGTCTGTCTCTAATATAGTGGATTAGTGCCCTTTTTATCTTTCTTGAGTGAAGTTTTGGGTGATTTTTTTGTGACATGGTAGCATATCGAGAGTTCTGCTTCAGGGGAAGACTGGGCAGTAAATGTTTGTGTGTTATGCTGGTAAAGTGGTCGGTGGGCTTGCAGTACCAGTGAACACATGAACAGTACCTGGCTACATTGTGATTCTGTCTGTTGCAGGTTTGACAGTGAAAAGGCTGGTGACCGTGAAGTTCAGCGAACAATGTTGGAGCTGCTCAATCAGTTGGATGGCTTTCAGCCAAATACCCTTGTCAAGGTAAATACTGGAGAGTAACTTTGCGTGTGTGGGTGTGGGTGTGGGTGGGGGTGGGGGTGGGGGTGGGGGTAGGGGTAGGGGTGGGTTGTTCCTGTAAGTATAAATATTCTTTAGGAGGGGCCAAAGTAACTATTGGTGTTTTCCCATTGTGCCAATCTGTGTGTCATTGCAGAACTCCGGGCAAGTTTTCATGTGGGCAGATTGAAGTGGGTGGTTATGTATGGGCCACCTTCATAGGCACTAACTGCATCAAATGCTTGAGGGAAAACTGATGTTATTACTCACTTAAAATCTAATTTGAAGTGGGCCACCCATTTGAAGTGTCCTCCAAAATATCTAGGTTTGAATTTCTGAAGAAGGGTCCCGACCCGAAACATCAACTTTTCTGTTCCTCTGATGCTGCCTGGCCTGTTGTGTTCCTCCAGCTCCACACTGTGTGATCACGTCATCATTACATGGCTGCTGTCACAAAAGCAAAACCTAACTTTTTTGATTGATTTTTTTTTTTTTTTTTTGTTGCTAAATTTTGATTTGTTTTGTCTTTGGTCACTGTCGTTGCCAGTTTTTTGTGTGTAAGAGTGCGAAACAACCCATTCTCTGGAGTTTGACTATTGCTCCCATTCCCCGGTAGGTGATTGCAGCCACCAATCGAGTTGATATCCTGGATCCAGCTTTGCTGCGGTCTGGCAGACTTGATCGGAAGATTGAGTTCCCAATGCCCAATGAGGAGGCGCGAGCAAGGATTATGCAGATTCACTCACGGAAGATGAATGTCAGGTGAGAATGCTCTGTGCTCAGTCAGGAGTCAGTCCAGCTTCACCAGCTCTTCTCCTTCTGATGTCTCATCCATGTGTCCCATTGCCCTGGCAATTCCATCTCTAACCTGAAGTATAAGCAGAAATTTGTTGCTACATTGCCTAGGTTCAGCCATGTAACTGGGGTCGGTATACAGGCAGATGTGGTTAATACTGTTACACTTTACTGGCACATGAGGAGGTCATTAATCCATTTGTGTGCAGTAATCTACTATGTCTGCAACCGTGCAGATTTATTTCATTTGAGTGTTTATCCATTAGCTTTTTGACACATTGACTGTTTCTAATTCTGCTGTCATTCTGGGCCCTGAGTTGCAATGTATTAGGAACTCATGAATTTAGATTGACTATTGTATTAAATTGTGGTGTAAAGTCATATGGTTCAGAGTAGGGCCCAGTTCTAGGTAATAGTGGATTTTCCTGTTCAATGTTCTTTTCTTGTTGCTGCCTGCAGTCCTGATGTGAACTATGAGGAGTTGGCTCGATGTACCGATGACTTCAATGGAGCTCAGTGCAAAGCAGTGTGTGTGGAAGCGGTAAGTATAACTCTGAGATCTCGGATAGGGAAATTTACGGAAGATTGAGACCAGTGTGTCAGGATAGAGAATTCTGGAGCTTGGGAATGGTGTGTAGAGATAGGGAGTTCCTGGAGATTGGCAGCAGTGTGTCAGGAAAGAGAATCCCTGGATGGTAGACGCAGTTTGTCAAGATAGAGAGAATCCCTAGGAATCAGGAATAGTGTCAGTATAGAAGGGAACCTCTTGAGATCAGGAAGTGTGTGTTGGGATTGAGTGTTTATGGAAACTTGGGTGCAGTGTATTAGGAGAGAGACTCCCTGGGGATTGCGTTAGTGTGTCAGGATAGGGAGATCAAGGACAGTATGACATGTCAGAGTTTCATTGGCTAGCAGTTAGTTGTGACAGGCTCTCAGGAATCTCCTTTCCTGCAAGAGAGTAATGTGACTGTTGCCAGGAGGATTATCACATAAGAATGTTGGTGTATTTGTAGCAGTCAGTAACCACGATGGCTGATCTCTCAGCCCTGTCTTCCTGCCATCATACACCATTCCTCCAATCCCCGCAATGAGAGTCTGATACTTGTTGCTCCATATGTACACTTGGGCGTGTCTGTGCTGCCCACTTGCCCTTTACGTTGTTCTGGAGAGAAGTCAGACTGAGTGTGTTCCTTGACAACAAGGTGCAGGGCTGGATGAACACAGCAGGCCAAGCAGCATCATCGGAGCAGAGAGGCTGACGTTTCGGGCCTAGACCCTTCATCAGAAAAGGGGGAGGGGAAGGGGGTTCTGAAATAAATAGGGAGAGAGTGGGAGGCGGATAGAAGATGGATAGAGGAGTGGAGAGGAAACAAACAGGTCGAAGAGGCGGGGATGGGGCCAGTAAAGGTGAGTGCAGGTGGGGAGTTAGGGAGGGAACAGGTCAGTCCAGAGAGGACGGACAGGTCAAGGGGGCAGGATGAGGTTAGTCGGTAGGAGATGGGGGTGCGGCTTGAGGTGGGAGGAGGTGATAGGTGGGAGGAAGAACAGGAGAGGGAGGCAGGGACAAGCTGGACTGGTTTTGGGATGCGGTAGGGGGAGGGGAGATTTTGAAACTTGTGAAATCCTCAGTTGTGACATCTCAGTTGTCCTCGTTTTTCAAGGACCGTAACTTCCCCCCCCTCAGTGGTCGAGAACGCCTTCAACCATGTCTCCCACATCTCCCGCAACTCATCCCTCACACCCCGTCCACGCAATAAGAACCAAAAAAGAATCCCCCTCGTCCTCACGTACCACCCCACCAACCTCTGGATCCAACACATCATCCTCCGACACTTCCGCCATCTGCAATCCGACCCCACCACCAAAGACATCTTTCCCTCCCCATCCTTATCTGCTTTCCGGAGGGACCACTCTCTCCGTGACTCCCTTGTCCGCTCCACACTCCCCTCCAGCTCCACCACACCCGGCACTTTTCCCTGCAACCGCAGGAAGTGCTACACCTGCCCCCATACCTCCTCCCTCACCCCCATCCCAGGCCCCAAGAAGACTTTCCACATCAAGCAGATGTTCACCTGCACATCTACCAATGTGGTATACTGCATCCGCTGTACCCGGTATGGCTTCCTCTACATCGGGGATACCAAGCGGAGGCTCGGGGACCGCTTTGCAAGACACCCACGCTCGGTTCGCAATAAACAACTGCACCTCCCAGTCGCGAACCATTTCAACTCCCCCTCCCATTCCTCAGACGACATGTCCATCCTGGGCCTCCTGCAGTGCCACAACGATGCCATCCGAAGGTTGCAGGAACAGCAACTCATATTCCGCTTGGGAACCCTGCAGTCCAATGGTATCAATGTGGATTTCACAAGTTTCAAAATCTCCCCTCCCCCTACTGCATCCCAAAACCAGTCCAGCTCGTCCCTGCCTCCCTAACCTGTTCTTCCTCCCACCTATCCCCTCCTCCCACCTCAAGCCGCACCTCCATCTCCTACCGACTAACCTCATCCCACCCCCTTGACCTGTCTGTCCTCCCTGGACTGACCTATCCCTTCCCTAACTCCCCACCTTTACTGGCCCCATTCCCGCCTCTTCGACCTGTTTGTTTCCTCTCCACCTATCCTCTCCTCTATCCATCTTCTATCCGCCTCCCACTCTCTCCCTATTTATTTCAGAACCCCCTTCCCCTCCCCCTTTTCTGATGAAGGGTCTAGGCCCGAAATGTCAGCCTCTCTGCTCCTATGATGCTGCTTGGCCTTCTGTGTTCATCCAGCCCTGCACCTTGTTGTCTCGGATTCTCCAGCGTCTGCAGTTCCTACTATCTCTGAGTGTGTTCCTTGGAGGCTGAGGTTAGTCAACTTGCCTCACTCTGTATGTTTCCTCTGTCTCACTGTGTTGCTGATGCTGAATATTTTTACCTTGACAGGGGATGATCGCTTTGCGCAGAGAGGCCACTGAGCTCACACATGAAGATTATATGGAGGGCATCCTGGAGGTTCAGGCCAAGAAAAAGGCCAACCTCCAATACTATGCCTAGGAGCCAGGCCCCTTGTTGGTACCACTCCCCGTACGATCCCTGGAGCTGGATTCAATGAAATGATTGCTTCTCCTGTATTCATGAAGTAGCTGAGCCAGGTGTGGGATGGGGTCTGGGTAATATGTACATGTATCCAGAGGGGTCTTATCACCTTGTCCAGTTAGGAGATGGTAGTAATAAACCCCCAGGCCAGGTCTCCGATACACTGTACACAAGAAACAACTTCAAACAAAATAACACACTCTGGTGTTCCATGGCTTTACATCTTTTTAATTATTGACCAACTGAATGCTCAGTGTATATATTACAATCTCAAACACTCACTCCCTGATCAGATCAGTTTATTCCTTCAATCCTTGGCTATAAACATACATCAAAAATGGACATCACAATATTTTACAAATGTACTGTAAACAGATAGTACTGCACTTGATTTTGATACATCCCAGACCTGCATGCTTCTTTCAGAATGACGTGACACAATGAGCACAGCACAGTGGTGAGAGAGAGGTCAGGAATGGTGCAATCATTTCACGTGATGCTTGGGAAAAGTGGGGAGTTGGATCAATGACTGAGAAGCTGTGGTGGTCATGCCAGTAAAAGTGACAGGAGAGGAGAAGCTTGGAGCTCTTTAGAAGATCAAGGTCTGATCCCATCATGAACACACAAATGTGAATGGAGTAAGACTGATAGACTGAGTGATCCAGTCCTATACCACCACCTCACAGAACCTCACCTTTCACTGAACCATGGGTCAGTGCTGTTTGGATGGGGGGTGGGGGGGTGCATTAGGAATGCCCCTGAAATGAATCAGTGTGAAACACGTCCTCCTCACTCCTGTTATCAAGCTCAGTCAGGATTGTTCATGGGGTCTTACTGAAAAAGCTCAGCTCCACTCCCAGACCATTAGAGTGAGATACTTCATTGTTTGGAGTTTGCTTGATTGGTTTGAACCAGACCAGGCACAACTCTGAACCTTTATAAGTTAATTTTCCTGCTTGATTTAATATACATCTAGAGGGGAATTAGTTTAATTCTGAAGTAAGGTTTTTGAAAATATTTGAAAGAGCCTGTGGCTTTTAATACAGATAGGAGATAAACTCAATCCAGGAAATAAACCATTCCTCGACAAGATGATACCCACCTATATCGCCCTCCTCTTTTCCCCCCCTCAACCCACTGCTGCATTTTTCTCCTGGTGCTTACTATTAGTCATTCACTGCCTTCTACATACCAGTTTTATCTACTGTCACTCATTTCCCCCAACCAAACTTCAGCCTGTGCTGCTCCTCACCGATGGACAAGTTTGGGGAGGGTTGATCTGCTGATCACTGCTCCTCACTGGTGTGACTTTGGGTGGCACGGTGCCTCAGTGGTTAACACTGGTGCCTCTGGTTCGATTCCAGCCTCGAGTGTCTGCGTGGGTTTCGTCCGGATGCTCTGGTTTCCTCACACAATCCAGAGATGTACAGGTTAGGTGGACTGGCCATACTAAATTGCCCGTAGTGTTCAGCGATGTGTAGGCTAGGTGGATTAGCCATAGGAAAAATGCAGGGTTACAGGGATAGGGTAAGGGTCTGGATGGGATACTCTTCGGAGGGGTGGTGTGGACTCGATGGGCCAAATGGCCTGCTTCCACACTGTAGGGATTCTATGACTTAAAATCTGAGCATTGGTAAGGAGCAGTACCTGCCAGCCCTCTGTGCCGTGTCATTTATTCACCAGGAATGACCACACGGACTCCAATCCAATGACCAATGATCCATACTTTAAAAATAGGGAATCTAGCTGTGTATTTCTACTTGGTAAATAAAAAGGTGTAATAGATTTCACTGTTGAGGCTGTGATCTCTATATTTAGATTCACACTGTGAACGTCTGTTTCTTGATCAAATTCATATTGTCAAAAAAATGGTGTGTATGGTTTTTGATTTATTCCTTCCGTGTCTTGGTCACTGAACAGTGGGACATTTAACTAGCTAAATGTACGCAGGGTGTGTGTTTACCTAAATTTGGCAAAGTATATGTGAGACATTTTCTGCTGAAATGTTCTAGCAGATTTTGATGAATCAGTGATTTCTGTTGGACAGTACTGGTCATCTGCGAGCTCTGATATCTCTGTCTCTCTGCCACCTTGAAGTTGTTGGCCATTGCCAGTGCGGTAGCTACAGTTGGAATCAGCAACCCTTAGCAGTATGTAATGGTACAGAATTAAATACCTGGCATACTGACTGATAATCAAGACAGACTGAGACTGTAACCTGGAAGGCTACAGTTCCTTGTCTCTTCCTGGTATAATGCATTGTATAAACTCCACAGTCACTCGACCTGGATGCTTTGAACTGTCTCTGGTTCGACCGGGAGTGGGAAGAGATGTCGCCCAGAAATCTGTCTATTGGCTTGTTTGTCTCTTTCAGTTATAAAATGCATTTCCAACAATAAGCTGGAAATAGGTGCTTGCACCAGTTTTGAAGATTTAACCAAAAAAGGGAAGAAATAAAAGTTCAATCATATTCAAAGCAATTTACAGCAGTGACATTCTGTACAATTGAAAAATGTTTAATTGTTTTATAAAAATGGATGCAGAGGCAATACACAGCCAGTCACAGCCACTTTACAAAATAGAGTCTGTAGCTGAAAAAACAGGTGCCTTTAACCTTCCCACATTTGCTGACCTCAGCACTTTCCTTCGAATCTGCTGCTGGTTACATTCTGGGACGGGAGGAGACACCATGTACTAAATGTACAAGCGAGTCTTCTGTTTTTTTTAACTCTACAAGTTGGCTGGGACGCTGAAATGATAGGTAGTATCAAAGTTGTATATAATAAACTTGGGGGAGAAAAGACCTCGATGCATTGACAGAAAGAAAACTGTTTTTGCAAGATTTTTAGGATTTTTTTTTCGTAAATCGACTTCAATGTACGAACACAGCATTATCACAAGTCATTCTATTAAATACATTCAACAAAACTGCTTTGTGTAGACTTGATGTTTAAGTGTTTAAGCAATTCTCAGCACCCTGCCCAGGGTCGTAATGCAGCTCCTGGTGACTCTGCCATTTCATCGTTTGGCTGACTTGCTCCCTCAGACCTCTGAACATCTCGTTGAACCCACGAATGTTAAACAGTATGGCAGCGACGTCTGTCACATTGTCCCATTCTCTGCCCGTGGTTTGTGTACGACTGTGTGAGGGTTGCTGAGGGAGGGGGCCAGAGTACAGAGGAAGCCTGCTAACAGTGTGAGTCCTAGTCCTCCCCATGCACAGAACATGGACCAGCCGTAGCCGTGGCTGATATCCTCGGGCAGTCCGTACATGTGCCGAGGAAAACGGGAAAGTTCAAAATTAATTCCGGCTACACAAGTACAGAGGGAGATAATGCAGCAGGTTCCTGATGGGAAAGGAAGAACAGAATTGATATTTCTCATCTAGATTCTAGCCCTCAGTGACATCTTTCATAAAGATCTCAGATTCCACACAATCACTAAATGTACTTCTGACCTGGAATTGTTTTATTGCTTGTCTGACTTAACTGTTCTTACAAAGCATTCAAGAAGACTGAAGTCACTGCCTTAGATCTTCGCAATCAAGATTGCTCTTAAGGTACTGGCGATGTGCCGTCCCTGCAAACAGTTTGCACTTTCAGTGTGGTACATGATCCCAGGATAAAGCTGTGGCCAAATCTCCGCGGGATCATTGAGACCAACTACTTCCAAGAGAATAATACTGTCTCAGCTCATCTGCTGCTGGGTCCCTCAGATGCAGCTTACCTCCAGAATTGATAGATCAAAAGGAAAGACTACACTGGAAAGGCATGTTCAAGAGTACAAGAATTCCAAAGTGCAATACAGCCAACTTGTGACAACAAGGTGTAGAGCTGGATGAACACAGCAGGCCAAGCAGCACCAGAGGAGCAGGAAGGCCGACGTTTCGGGCCTAGACCCTTCTTCAGAAAAAGCCAACTTGCGTTTGCATTATCAATTGCCTCCACTGTAGGAGCTCACTCGGCATGCTGTCAGACAGTCGGTAAAAACACTGCTAGGGACTTGACAGGCAGTAGGGAGGGAGGGAGGAGTGGTCAATGTACCGCCAGGGAGAGCATGGATAGTCAGTGTACGAACTGGGGGGAGCGAGCAGCCAATATACGGACTGGGGGTCAAAAGAGCATCAGAGAAAGGGCAGGCAGTCTGCGTGGCAGTGAGAGGGCGATCACTGAAAGAACTGGGGAAGAGCGAGAGGTAGTCAGTGTACGGATTGGGGAGGAGCAGGTGGGTGGTCAATGTATGGACTGGAGGGTGCAAGCAGTCAGTGTATGGACTGGGGGGCAGAGAGAGAGGGCAATCAGTGTATGGACTGGCGGGTGGTGAGGGAGGGCAGTGTACGGACTGGGGGCAGAGAGAAAGGGCAATCAGTGTACGGACTTGGGGGCAGAGAGAGAGGGCAATCAGTGTACGGACTGGGGGGCGGAGAGAGAGGGCAATCAGTGTACGGACTGGGAAGGAGTGAGAGGACAGTCAGTGGATGGACAGGGATGGAGTGAGAGAGGGCAGTTGGTGGCTGTGAGAGGATGTGAGGGATCACTGTACGAACTGGCGAAGATTGAGAGGGCAATCAGTGTATGGACTGGGGAAGAGAGAGAGAGACTCTCAGCCGTCAGTGTGTTTATATCGTCCTTAGATGGAAAGACTGGGTAAAGCCATCAGCACCGTTTCTTTATGAATTGACAGAAGGGGCTGTGGAGGTGCTGAATTCAGACAACGGGCACTGACTGTCTTACCTCCCATGAGAAAGAGCAGGCCAGCCACATACTGCATCAGATCATGATCCTTACAGCAGCCTAGAATCCCAATGATCCAGCCAAACAGAATGATAGAAACTGCCATTCCAATAAACCCTGCTGTCATCCGTCGCAGATCTGGGACCAGGAGAAAGCAGAGCTTGAATCAGAGAGAGAAGCAAATCAAGAAACTAACTCCAAAATAATTTGAACAGAATAAACAGCGAAATCAATTTAGACACCGAGTACAGCTCCCTTTACCGCGTCCCACGAAACACACCCAGGGCAGGGACAGCACATGGTTAGATAGAGAGTGAAGCTCTCTCTACTCCGTCCCCAAAAAACATTCCCAAGGCATGGACAGCATAGGGTTAGATAGAGAGCAATAGCAATGACTATCTTGATTGCTGTGGTTGGTTCGCTCGCCGAGCTGGTTCGTTAGCTCGCAGACATTTCATTACCCTGCTGGGTAATGTCATCAGTGCAGCCTCTGATGAAGCGCTGTTGCGTTCTCCCGCCTGTTATTTAAACTCTGGGGTCTGTTGGAATTGGTTACCTTATTTCTGGTTTTTCTTCGCAGTGGTGTATATATAGAGTCTAATTCTACATGTTTATTGACGGCCTTCTTGGTGGAGAACCCAGCCTCCAGAAATTCCCACGCTTGTCTCTATATGGCCTGTCCTAGGATCCTAATGTTGTCCCAATCGAACTGGTGGTTCCCCTTATCCATGTGAATGGAGACGAGTGAGTATTGGTCTGTCCTTTTGTTGCTAGTTGGTGTTCATGTATTCTTGTGGCCAGTTTCCTTCCTGTCTGTCAACGTAATGTTTTTCGCAGTCTTTGCGTCGGACCTTCTATATCACGTTCGTTCGGTCCATTGTGGGTAAGTGGTCTTTGATTTGAGTTAGCAGTTGGTGTAGTGTTGACATAGGTTTATATGCCACTCTGAAGCCCAATAATCATAGGAGTCTTGTGGTCAGTTCGGATATGTTCTTGATGTATGGTAACGTGATGAGTGTGTCAGGACATACTGTATCTTCCTGTTGTTTGTGTGATAGGCATCGTCGGACCCAGCTGTTTGGGTATCTGTTGTTTTTAAATACTTGGTGGAGGTATTCTTCTTCGTTTTGGCATAGTTCCAGGTTGCTGCAGTGTGTTGTTGCTCCTTTAAATAATGTTTTTACGCAACCCCATTTGTGGGTGTTGGAGTGGTTGCTGTTGAAATTCAAGACTTGATCCGTGTGTGTGGCCTTTCTGTGTGCCTTTGTCAGACATTCCCCATTGGTCCAGCGTTCTACCATGACGTCCAGAAATGGAAGCTGTTCGCTCTTTTCTTTCCAGGTGAATTTGATGCCGGTGAGGGTGTTGTTTATAAGTTGGTGTGTCAGAAAGACTGCGACAAATATTACATTGGCAGACAGGAAAGAAACTGGCCACAAGAATACATGAACACCAACGAGCAACAAAAAGACATGACCAGTACTTAGAGATAGTAGGAACTGCCGATGCTGGAGTCTGAGATAACAAGGTGTAGCGCTGGATGAACACAGCAGGCCAGGCAGCATCAGAGGAGCAGGAAAGCTGACGTTTCGGGTTTGGACCCTTCTTCAGAAATGGGGGAGGGGAAGGGGAAGGGGAAGGGGACTCAAATAAATAGAGAAAGGAGGAGGCAATGATGGAAGGTGGATAAAGGAGCAGATAGGTGGAGAGAATACAGACAGGTCATGGAGGTGGGGATGGAGCCAATAAAAGTGAGTGTAGGTAGGGAGTTAGGATGGGGGTTGGTTAGTTGAGGGAAGATGGACAGGTCAAGGAGGGGGGGAATGAGGCTAGTAGGTAGGAGGTGGGGGTGGGGGTTGGTCAGTGAGGTGGGAGGAGCGGATAAGTGGGAGAAAAGACGGACAGGTCAAGGAGGCGGGGACTAGCTGGACTGGTCTTGGGATGAAGTCGGGGGTGGGGAGATTTTGAAGCTTGTGAAGTCCACATAGAGACCATTGGGCTGCAGGGTTCCCAAGCGAAATATGAGGTGCTGTTCCTCCAGTTTCTGGGTGGCATCGTTGTGACACTGGAGGAGGCCCAGGATGGACATGTTGTCCAGGGAGTGGGAGGGGAAGTTGAAGTGGTTCGCGACTGGGAGATGCAGTTGTTTGTCACGAACCGAGTGTAGGTGTTCCACAAAGCTGTCTCCAAGCCTCCGCTTGGTTTCCCCAATGAAGAGGAGGCCACAACGGGAACAGTGGATACAATATACCACATTAGCAGATGTGCAGGTTTAATGTGAAAGGTTTTCTTAGGCCCTGGGATGGGGGTGAGGGGGGAGGTGTAGAGGCAGGTGTAGCACTTCCTGTGGTTGCATGGAAAAGTGCCAGGGGTGGTGGGGCTAGTGGGGAGTGTGGAGCGGATGAGAGAATCATGGAGAGAGGGGTCCCTCCGGAAGGCAGATAAGGATTGGGAGCGAAAAATGTCCTTGGTAGTGGGGTCAGATTGCAGGTGGCGGAGGATGATGCGTTGAATCTGGATGTTAATGGTGAATGGAGGTTAATATGTGAGGACAAGGGTAATTCTGTCTTTGTTGTTATTGTGGGGAGGGGGTGTAAGTTGCAGGAAATGCAAGAGATGTGGTTGAGGGTGCTTTGGACCACTGTGGAGGGGAAATTGCAGTCCTTGAAAAATGAGGACATCTGGGAACCCTGCAGCCCAATGGTCTCAATGTGGACTTCACAAGCTTCAAAATCTCCCCAACCCCAACTTTATCCCAAGACCAGCCCAGCTAGTCCCCGTCTCCTTGATCTATCCATCCTTTCTCCCACCTATCTGCTCCTCCCACCCCACTGACCAACCCCCACCCCCACCTCCTACCTACTAGCCTCATCCCCGCCTCCTTGACTTGTCCGTCTTCCCTCAATTGACCAACACCCATCCCAACTCCCTACCTACACTCAGCTTTACTAGATCCATCTCCGCCTCCTTGACCTGTCTGTCTTCTCTGCACCTATCTGCTCCTTCCATCATCGCCTCCCTCTCTTGCTATTTATTTCAGAGTCCCCTTCCCCTCCCCCATTTCTGAAGATGGGTCCAGACCCGAAACATCAGCTTTCCTGCTCCTCTGATGCTGCCTGGCCTGCTGCGTTCATCCAGCTCTACACCTTGTTATCTATGACCAGTACTTACTCGTCTCCATTCACATGGATAAGGAGAGCCACCAGTTCGATTGGGACAACATTAGGATCCTAGGACAGGCCAAACAGAGACAAGCATGGGAATTTCTAGAGGCTTGGTTCTCCACCAAGAAGGCCATCAATAAACATGTAGAATTAGACCCTATACATACACCACTGCGAAGAAAAACCAGAAATAAGGTAACCAATTCCAACAGACCCCAGAGTTTAAATACCAGGTGGGAAAACACAACAGCGCTTCATCAGAGGCTGCACTGACAATGTTACCCAGCAGGGTAATGAAATGTCTGTGAACTAACGAACCAGCTTGGCGAGCGAACCAACCACAGCATCCACAACCCGAGCTACAAATCTGATCAAGAACCTTAGACTACCTGGATTACTTAATAAGAGGACTTGATTACATGAATTTGGCATCACATGTTAACAAAATATACAATGTGTCTTTTTATTCTTTGACATTTTTGATTATGGTCTGAAATGAGAAAAAATCTACTTTAAAACCAAGGATTCTTTTGGGATTGCTGCAATTTTTAAAAGCAAGAAACCTGACATTCATTGGAAGCGCTGTTTACACAGCTGCAGGTTCGAGCTGTAGTTGAAGTTTAGTTTGCAGTTGAGGTGGAGCTAAGGGCTGTGTACAAATAGAGATTTAGCCAGCAACAAGTAGCTCATTGGTCTGTGAACTAGTGACCAGTTATTGATGACAAAAGCCTTGGGGCTGTCATCAACACAGTAAGAAACCATCAGTTCTCTGCTTGCACAGGAGCTCTGTTCTCTGTAGAGAAAGAAACACTTTCAATCTGAAGAAATCTGTTTTTTTTTCCTTCAGCAGTAAGCTATGACTTCTATTGAAAGAGTCACCTTTTTAATTGTGAACCAGTTACTCTGCTCTTCCTGCAAACAAGTGAAAACACCCAGGGAAAGGAAGACCAAGACAGTGTCAGATTAGCACAGAGCTAAGAAGATAAAGATAACTGAGGTACTATCACAGTACTTGGATTTAGAGCAAGCACAAGAAAGGCCAGGTATAGTCAGGGTAGGGAAAGATTGGATTCACACAATATTCAATTATGATTAAAGGAGCTTGAGCATGAGGAGAGAATGACAAATAAAGGTTGAATTCGAATGAGAACGAAAAGACACAAAGATAGCAGAAAAAGACAATGAATAGTGTAAATGAGAACACTAGAGTTACAGTTGTTAAGGGAAACAGGAGAAAAAGAATCAGAATATCAGCTTAAAATGATACAATTGAAACAAAGAACAAAGAAAATTACAGCACAGGAACAGGCCCTTCAGCCATCCAAGCCTGCGCCAATCCAGATCCCCTATCTAAACCTGTCACCTATTTTCCAAGGATCTGTATCCCACTGCTCCCTGCCCATTCATGTATCTGTCTAGATACATCTTAACTGATGCTATCGTGCCCGCCTCTACCACCTCCGCTGGCAACACGTTCCAGGCACCCACCACCCTCTGCGTAAAGAACTTTCCATGCATATCTCCTTTAAACTTTTCCCCTCTCACCTTGAGCACTATCTGCTACTCCACCAATCTTAGTGTCATCTGCAAACTTACTAATCAGACCATCTATACCTTCCTCCAGATCATTTATATATATCACAAACAACAGTGGTCCCAACACGGATCCCTGTGGAACACCACTGGTCACAGTTCTTCACTTTGAGAAACTCCCTTCTACTACAACTCTCTGTCTCCTGTTGCCCAGCCAGTTCCTCAGCCAGTTCTCTATCCATCTAGCTAGTACACCCCGGACCCCATGCAACTTCACTTTCTCCATCAGCCTACCATGAGGAACCTTATCAAACGCCTTACTGAAGTCCATGTGTATGACATCTACAGCCCTTCCCTCATCTATCAACTTTGTCACTTCCTCAAAGAATTCTATCAAGTTGGTAAGACATGACCTTCCCTGCACAAAACTATGCTGCCTAT